AATGAAGAAGAGTAATAACAACGAGTAATTAGAGACATTACTCTTTCTTTGTTGTAACACTTGGGATTTACTGGAAAGTATAACATATGCCAGTCCTGAACAAGTGGGATACACATAAATTGTTGAAATTTAAATTATCAGATTATCCATTAAAAGGACTTTGAATGATAATATATTTACAGCCACTGTGAGCATTCCAAATTATAGCATTAATTTTTGTTTTTTAATTATGCTGTCTTTACCATGGAGGTTGTCTGCAATGTTGAGTTGATTTAAGCTGATTCAAGAAGTGACATCACAGCACTTGGACATTCCTATAAGCGCTCCGTCCCTATCTTCAGCAGCCATTGCAGAGTTCTGATATTAATGATGCAGGTGGCATTCTGATTAAAAGTCCGTCTTGCCTTTCCTCTGAGCCTCGAGCATCTGCCAGAACCCCTTGTCACTCCCCTCTGCATCAATCTCACCAGACTGTGGTGATCCATCTGCTCCTCTGAACGGTACACACTCTCCCACAAGGCACTAACCACGTCTGCCTTAGTCTGCGTGTGTACAAAATGTGTACACTGCCAACTATGGGAGTACAGTAAAGTCTCATGAACACAAATTCTAAGAGAACAAAAACTGAGTTTGTTTTAAAAGATCTGTGCTAACTGGTGAAGAATATTAAGAATATATTACTGCCATTACTGCCTACAGTTACAACTTTTGCGGGGGGAAAAAGAGGAGGAGGGGGGAATTGTTCACGGGAAGTGAGAATTCAGGGTTGCATGGCTACTGCCTTCACAATGGACTGTGCATGATGGGATTCTATTTTTGCCACAGAAAAAAATCCCCAACATTACAAAGGATTTGAACCCGGGTCTTTCGCATAAGAAACATGCATTCTTAACTGTTCAGCCAGCCATTCCTTACAATATAATACATTACATTATACAATACAATCTACTATATGTGTGTGTGTATAAATATATATCTGTATGTACAAAATAATCTCTGCTGGGACCAAAATGTTGTCCATGTTAACTGAGTGTTCTTCTTAAGCAAATTTGTGTTAATATGGTTTTACTGTATTAGGTGGGGCAGTCAAGATATACACAGAAAAAAAAAAAAAGCGGACTTAAGGGTTAGACAGGGCTGTGGACTTTCACCTTACACTGTCAATGTTTCCCCTTATATAGTCAATTTGTACAGTGAAATAATAATTAAATCTATATAAAATAAGCCAGGAGTATTGGCTGGTAAAAGATAAACAGCATATGATACAGTTTTGATTTTAAAAACAAAATACTGTTACAAGGCCTGCCTTATATTTGGCCCTTTCAGACAATCATCTTTCAGACTGCAGTTGTATTACATCAATAAAGCATGATATGTTCAAAAGACGACATGTGGGGGTACAAGGAAATGAGCCAGCTGATAGACTTGCAGGTAAGGCTACTGTGAAGCCGGACAAGCCATGGACCAGGCTGATATACTGAATGCTCTAAGAGAGATAAGACGTTTGCATGAACTAACTGAGAACTGTGATTCTGCAACCATGGTCAGACTGCAAGAGCAACATGTTAAACAGGGTGTCCCCAAACAAGAACACATCATGCGGGTAGCCAAAGAAGAAGAATAAATCAACACAGAACTGGTGTGGTTAGCCGCTATACGCTGCAGGATTTACTGATGAGGGGATCCGAGCACTTATGGACTGAGTGGTTCGACGTGCAATGAGGATAATCTTTCGACTAACTAACTAGCCGTGTTCGGAAGAAGAAGGAAAGGAGTACATGGAGGAGGAGTATACAGAGCAGTAGCCAGCCAAGAGTCAGCCTAGTGGCCTGATGTAGATGTGTCTGATTCTCTTGCTAAAAAATATCCCAGGCAACAGAATTATGAAACAAACTCAATTTATTAACCAGCAGCATAATGCAGACGCAGTATATGCATTATTGATATGTATTTATTTTGTTCGGTTGCATTATGTTACAATTTGCAAAAAAGACCTACAGCACATGAGGCAAATAACTAAGCCACTTAGCCATGAAGGAAAATGATTAAATATTAGCTTCACGCTGTGTTTATAGTCAAAACAGTTTAAAAAAAATGTTTTGAATTGCAATATCTTTTTGTATTTAGAAATGTGCTCTCTTTATAATTAAATATTAAATAAATGTGTTATGAGTATATTCTGTCTTTAGAGCAAATAAATATCATGACTCCTAAGTATTAAGAACAATAAAAGAAATTACAAAAACTTACTCTCCATGTGGGTTTCGAAGAATCAGTTTTTTTTGTGTGGGGGGGGGGGGGGGGGGGGGGGGGGGGGGGGGGGGGGGGGGGGGGGGGGGGGGGGGGGGTAGGGGGGTGGGGGGGGCGGAATAGATCCACTACCATCTCAATAAGCGTAATGCAAGAGGCGACTAATTTAGGGTTAAGTTCAAATTTGAAATGCTCTGCTAAAAAGCACAGATATTAACCACAACACAATGTGTCAACCAAACACAGAAGAAAAAGAAACATAATGTTTTTACAAACAGCCGAAGCTTTGTCTTTCAAAGACTTTTTTGATCACAAATAAACTGTACAGTAAACTTTGTGCAATGACAGTATTTAAAAAAAAGCATAATGAGTAATTTTCTTATGTATCGACAGAAAATATTTCATAATCATGAAAGTAAATTGTTTTTTTTTTTTTTTTAGCTGAAATGCTACAGAATGATTACGGACCAAGAAGAAAAGAGATATTGACATCCTGAAAGATCTGAACATCAAGGAAGACAGGCCTGTAAACACAAACTTTTGGAAACTGAAATATTTTGGCAACATCAAGCCCCATGCTGGATTTAACAAAACAGCAAAAGAGGTCTTGGTGATGGGAAAAAAGGCGTAGGGGCTGACCAGCATGAAGATGGATGTTGGAGACACCATGGGTGGGAAAATGAGGCAGGGAGAGCTGGTGAGAGATCAAGTTTTTTTCCCATGTGAGATGTGATGGGGGTGACATTCTGCAAAGGATCTGCTACAAGATGAGATATATAGAAAACAAGAAGCATTGTAACATAATGGATAGTGTGCTCACTTACTCAAACAAAGGACTGAGTTCTAGGCAATGAGTTAAGAGTCTCTTATCAAAAAAATGTCTAGAACTCAAGGCAAAAGTACAGGTCCAGGGCTGCAGAAGTTAGTACTTTTGTAAAAATGTGGTACTATCTGACTTTTGCCGAGCAAAATTGTCCTTTTGGTACCATGCCTGATGTTTTGGTTGAATGTTGAATTAAGAATCAACATCACAGCACTTGGGACACCCCCATAAGTGCTCCATTCCCTTTTTCAGCAGCAAGCAAAGAGTTGTAATTCCAATGGCACCAGTAATTGTCTGACTGTATATCCGTCTCAATCTTTCTGTGTTTTGCGCTGGCCAGATCCCCCTAATGTTTTGGTATGTTTTATAAATATTGCATCAATATTTTTAAGTTTGGCATTGTGTTGAACCTTCTAAAAAAAGTTACTGGTAAGTAAAGTAGTAAAGTAAAGATCCATTTTTCATGCCTTTACGCACATTGGGCATATGGAAAGCGCACCCACATTTTTACAGACCAATTGGCACAAGATCGTATTAATGTGGTCAGCATTACACTGGCGGTCTTTACTTCTACAGGACACACATCCTGGTACCCATTTTAGGCTTGGTCGACCTGCGACACCCTGTACCATGATAAAATAAACGCAAAGTGACTGGTTGTGTACTTTGAATAAGCCTTATGCAATTGTTGACGCAAATCGCTTTGTTGAAGACTTCAACAAAAAATGCATTGATGAGATCAAAGTTATTGATCCAGAACATTAATGCAAACATCTGAAGCGGCAACAACAGCTGAAGAAAAGACATTTGGTACTATTCCCCCCCAAATTTCAGTAGCCCTGTACATAAATCCTTCCAGGCTATTTCAATATTGAGCATATGATGCTAGACCCACAGTTTTATAGAATAACTGACTCAATGGGTGATGTTATCGGCATACATCTGGCCATATTGATTTCCGAGACCACTTTCTCCTACTTATTTTATTCTGGGTCTACCTAGGAGCTAAGGTCATTTTATAGCCCCCCCCCCCCCCCCCCCCTTATTTTTTTCTTTCTTTCCTATAAAGGATTAGAAGCTAAGACAAATAGACTGAAAGGTAAAAACAAGTTTTATTTCAGGAATTGCTAAAAGTAGGAATGACAAGTCAAATAAAACAAATATAAATACTGTGGCTTAGGCGTGGCAAACGAGCTTTGTAATGCGGGGGTGCCGGGTTTGATCCCAGCTGTGGGCCTTGCGTTAATTTCGACAGTGGTACTAAGAAGCCAACCGTCCAGAAAGCAAAGAAAAATTACTAGACGTAAATTTGCCTAGAAAAAACCACAACAGCCAAAAAATGCTGGTGTTGGTTCTGCAATGTCCTGTAAAGGAAACACAATTAACTTTTAACACACATACATGCATATATAGGTGGTTTACCCAATAAAGATGAGTGATGTAGTTTCCTGAGCAAGAATTCATGGCAGCTACAGAAATGTCAACATCACCATGACAGTCAAGACAGTGAAAAATTAAAGGTTGGGGGCTTCCAAAAAGATGTTTCATGATAACAAGGTTGGCTTCATTTTGTGTGTGAATATTTTAAAGACATCTAGAAAGAAGCTTCCAAACCTAGCTACACACAGGTGGCTGTGTCATCACCACACACCAAACTATTTAAGACCTGTAACTAGTTAATACAAAAAAATGACAGGCTTCAAAAACAAAAACAAACAAGCATATTATCCACTGTGTCACAGCATTATTTTTTGTTATATAATGATGAGACAGCACCATAAAAACCAAATTAAAAAACAAACTTCAAATTTACAAAATAAAAACGTTCATAGAACTCTTCTGGCATAGAAAATAAGGATGGACTAATCTCAACAATGAACCTAGATAGTTTATGTTAACTCTTATCCAGGTTGCTAGTTAGTTTATGTTAACTCTTATCAAGGTTGCTGCTGCTGGAAGACTTTGTTTTCCGCCCAGGCAGAAAATTGCTTTTGCCTGAAAAAGAATGATAAAGAAATGCATTATCAGGTATTACCATTACATCTGGAGCTACAGTTTTTATATAAAGTTTATTGTTCACTTAAAGATTTTCTTCATAGCACATCAGGCATGATCGTAAGTGTTCCAAACTCGTGTTTTTAAACTAACTCCCATTCTGTTTTGGCTGATGTAACGATGGGTGGCTCCCTCATAATTTTCTTGTCTCGTTACTCCAATTAGCTCACCCAGGGTATGCAGTCTATTCAGTGATGTATCATTTTCCACAAAACTGAAAACCTTACAGTTTTTACTCTCTCTGTTATGGCACTGATGTTTCTATTGTTTAAAAATGGTCCATTTTTGTTTGTCGCGCTGGCATCCACAGTGTTTGTGTTTCGTGTGAGGTTCTATAGCAAGCAGCCTCTCTGCAGAAAGACTGAGCCCTATTGGATAAAATCCAGTGCAATTAAATTGATCATCTCATATTTCAACACTGTGTGTTAGTTATATTAGGTATATTTCTGTATTTCCCGATGGCAGTGTACACTGTAGTTTAGGAAGAACATTGGAATCAACTCATGACAACGGTAAGCATGTTGAGCAAGATCAGCTAGCATTTTAAAGTCTTCCATAATAAGTGCATTTTCATTAAGCCACAGAGCTGGTGCAAATAAACCAGACCACAAATACGACCGGAGCCTGTTGGCGGCTCGCTGCCAACAGCAGGTTGAAGGTGGTCGAGTTTGTTTTCTTCTAGATGTGGTAAGTGCATTGGATTTCAGGACTACTGTTACCAGTGCATGCTGACATATTTCTTCCCAAATGCTCAGCTATTAACTTGTCTGCAATAATTTTCTTCTTTGTCCTATTCTCTTCCATGTGACACAATCCTTGGCATCTTAACACTCTTTTAAAAAACAAATATATTACAGCCTGACACAGTATACAGAGTCTCAATTGGAGTATGCTGTGGCAGAATTTAATCTTCTAGGATTAATATGTCTCAGGAGTGGAACCTTCAGTTATGAGAATTTTGTAACAAGATGTACAATTGAAAATAAATCAGATGTTCTAGTACATTATGAGAAACAGACAAATGGAGTTCATCATAATAATAAGACATTTAAAAAGTACTGAATGCTTTTATCAAAACACCATGTAGCATGTCCTTGGCAGATGTCGCTCTCATCACGGTCTGCCTGTAAGACACTTTGTCTCTAGCCAGCTCTCCCACTTTGTGCACACTTATACCACAGGAGTTATTTATATAATGGGCCCATCTTTGGACTGGTCGGCCCCTGCCACTCCTTACCAGTACTACTGGCCGTCTGCTATTTTTATTTCCCGTCCACCATGGCGCTTTATATGACCAAAATATTTTAGCTTCCAAGACAAGATGCTGTTCATTAGCTTATCTGTGATGTCCAGATTTTTTAGGATGTCAGTATATCTTTCCTTCTTTGCCCATAGTATTCTGAGAATCTTTTAACAGCATTTCAGTCCCTATTTTCTTCGTTAAGGACTGCGAGATAGTCTATGACTCACATCTGTATGTTGCTACAGGGTAAAGCATGCCCTCAAAATTTTGACTTTGAATTCCTTGCTGATGCTTAACCATACACTTTCACTGCTGTCTAATCTTTGTATTGCTATGGCCATCCTCCATTCCTTTTGAAAAGTCTCCAATGTTGTTTTTGATAGAGTCTAGATGCTTTACCCACAAGTATTTCAAACATTACTTCCATCCCAGGTCCTGCCTCTGTTGCCACCATATGTAAATAACCTACCACTTCTTCAGTCTACAATACGATCTTCTCCTTCTACACTCCTCTTGAATGATTCCCTACATAATTATTTTTTCCAGATCTTTTCTTCCTACAAAATTCACTTACACAGGCTGACATTAAAAAAATGTTTATATATGCCATAGATATTTAAGAGAAAATGAGTCCAGCATGAGCTAAGCTAGTTAAACCAGCTGTGCGGTGACCAGGTCACAAACTCTTTGTGGTCGGAGTTCACGCTCTAGGGGTAGGAAAAAAGCCACATATTTCCCAGATTTAGGCTATCTATCATGGAATAAAGGCAGAACAGTTGCGATATCTATAGTACAGAGCAAAATTAGTATTAATCTCATGGTTTTTAGATTGAAAAAAAAAAAAAGACTACCTGTACAGTCCTTTAAAGAAAGAAAATTAAACAATAAATGAAAAGTGAATGAAATGTTAATGTTCAACAACTGCTGTACAGCAGCTAATAAATGATAAAATGAGAAGGAACAAGCAGAAATGTCTGACAGCACATGCAAGTAAGACCCAATAGCTGATTCTGGAGTGCAGTGCCATCAAAACATAAACGGCACCTCCAGACAACAGTGGCGTGCCAATGAAGTTCATTTAAACATGCGTTCCAAAATGCATGCCAAAAATCTTAAATACATAATTATCAATGGCCAGATTTTTTAATGTCAGCCTGTCCTTACTTAGGCTGGATCAACCCAGGTCAATAAAATAAATCTCCATTCAGAAGATGAAGCTCAGTGGCTCCAGATGTAAGTACAGCGGAACCTCAGAATACACATTTAATCCGTCCCATGAGTAAACTTAGGCGTCCGTGGCTAAGGCGTTGCGAGTCCGAAACCCACTGCAGGTTGCGTGGATTTTTGTCGTGGTATGGGACGTCGCAGGTCGACCCAGCCTAAAATGGGTACCAGGATGGGCTGTCCCGGGAAAGTAAAGACAGCCGGCGTAATGCTGACCACATTACCCACAGAGTGCTGATGGTCTGTAAAAATATGGGACGCTCTGCCCATATGCCCGATGCGCCGAAAGGCGTGAAAAGGGAACTTTACTTTACTTTACTTATGAGTAAACTTATGGTTTAGGTTTAGGTTTAGATGACGGATCAAGATCATAGCACAAGGGTAGTAATCCATAAGTGCTCCGTTCTACTTCTGACTCAAGCCTGAATCCGAAGAATCTCAGTGCAGTGCACGAACTCCGTACACCGGTGAAGATCCTGAAATACTTTGGGTAGATTTAAAACTTATATGGTGAATAACATGTATCCTGAAACTATTCTTCCCATTAAAATTAATGTAAATAATTTTAATTCATTCCGGCCCTCCCAACATTAAAAAAAAAATGATGTTTTAGTTTCACTAACAGGAAAATACCATACCCATCGTTAAATTTATTGAGAAGCAAAGAATGAAATGGTTTGGTCACCTAATGAGAATGGAACCAATGATGCCAGCATCAAGAGCATACAACATGAAAATCGAAACACCAAGAGGCAGGGGAAGACCAAGAAGAAAATGGATTGAAGGAGTCACAGACAACTTGAGACTTCATAACATCACGGCATATGAAGCAACTGAGCGCGCCCTGGCTCGGTTGCCGATCATCTGATAGACTGCGACGCCTAGCGGCACAAGCAGATTTTGACAAAAGAAGAAGAAGAACGGGAAAATGTGCAGCACTGCACTGCTTATTTCTGCCCGCAGATGAATATGGGGTTACTTTCAATTATGATGCTATAGTCGATTATCATCAACTGCCTTGCAGACTGGCTTAAGTCCGCCTTCTGCAGTTTTAAAGGTGACCTAATCCATTAAAAAATTATCGAGATGATGTCAGGCAATGCTGAGTTTTCTATAGCATTTTTTGGGCACACACACACACAAATACTTGCGAGCCTTACTTCGTATCCTGAAAAACTGGTATCCAGGTACACTTGTATTCTGAGGTTTCACTGTATTTAAAAAAAAAATGAGCACCATACCTGTTGGTTGTGTTATTTTAGATGTCAACCACACAAAAGGCTCCACCAAAGATTTTCTGTTTGCCACAGATACTTCCCAAAGTCTCACTGTTCAGAATATACAAATTAATATTTTAATCATATTTTTAAAAACACACACAGATATTTATTGTTATACTTCACACCGGTGAATGCTTTTGTAGTCTTCTTCTGTGCTTTATATTCCCATGGAACATAGCCCTTAACTAACTCATATCAATCCTTATATCATTTGCCATCTTCTGCAGCTCAACTATGTCTTATACAACTATGAGGTTTGAGGTTTGAACAATGGATCAACATCATGGCACACGGGTAGTAACCCATAAGTCCTCCGTTCTTCTTCTAACTCAAGTGTGAGTCCGAAGAAGCTCAGCACAGTACACAGGATCTGTAGCACCAGCGAGGATCCTGAAATACTTTGGGAAGATTTTTAACTCCAGATTTTGCCCAGGCAGCTCCGTTAGGCTACTTGTTCAATTTCCAACTGCCAAGAGATTTTTTACGTGCACAACAATACACATGGATGTACGATCTCACTACCCAGAGAGACCAGCAGGAATTACTAAGTCCAAGTCTATGAGAAAAAAATCCTAGCCCTTACCAGGGATTGAAAACCGGAACCTCTAGCACTTGAGGCGGACACCATGCCGAGACCACGCAGCCCCTTACACAGCTTATTTATCCCAGTACAATTGTCTTTTCATTATTTTTTGGAATCTACCTTTGGAGTAATCTTCTTCTTCACTTGCTCGTTTACTGTCTCTGGTGTTGATGATGAGACTTACATAGTACAGAATGAAATTATAAAACATTTCTTACTTTTCTCCTTCCCTGCCCATGCCATAGCAGTTTCAAACTGAACCTCTCTTCTTTCATTCAGTTCACTCTTGTTGCCAATAAGGATCACATGTCCCTGAAGGAGAAATAAATGTGTGACTGCAACGTCTTTTTTATAACTTAATTAACATGATGAGTTTAAAAAATTTGGACATAAACAATACATTGCAAAATTGACTGGTCACCATATTTTCTGTATCCCATCAGGTGTATTATTTTTACATCAACACACAATTAAGCACATTCTTTCCTGGGGCCCAGAATAAATCCGGTGCCTCCCCAACAAGCATATGTAAACAAGGAGAATGTTTGGGGAAGTTTCCTTCGAAGTTAGAGTACATCTGCCTAAGAGGTGAGGAACCAACAGTCTGCATATAAATAAGCCAGATCTGTAAAAAGGATGTGCATGCAAAACTCAAGTTCCGGAACAAGACGAAAGTCAAGAAATGGACGAACAACTATAGCTTTCCGTCGAAATTTACAGCTGGTGAAAGTTAAGAAGAAGAACTAAGCATTAAAAACTGATTCCTTTTCATTGAAATACATAAAGCCTGCATCTTCTCTAGACCATCATTCACCTCACTGCTAGTAGCTTAGAATAACTGCAGAGATTAAAATACCAGAATGACAGAACAGTCATTTATCAGCTCCCATGATTACCTAAACGCCTATCAACATGGAAACTGAAAGAGATACAGGGTTACTAAACCACACATGAAGGTGGTGCAGCAGGACCAGGCCTTATACAGGTCTAGATCTATCTACACCTTTCTGAGTGCCCTGTCAATGCAGATAGGATCAACGTTTCCTTTGCAGTCTGAAAGCATCTGACAGAGAGGCAGAGAACCAACATTCTACGCATAAATAAGCCAGATCTGTGTGTAGATGAGCCTGGAACAAAACCAAAGACAGAAATGGATGAACAACCACAGCTTTCTGCCAAATTTTATAGTGGCTGAATGAGAAGAAGAGAAGGGTTTATGAGCTTTTTTTCTCCATGTTCAGATGTTTTAGACAGTCAATATTTCTTTATCGCTTAGTGCGTGATATTTTAAGAATCTTTCTATACAATACAGGTCAAAAGCCAAGATTGTCCTCGTTAAAGATTGCAAGAAAGTCTACAACACAACTCCAACCAGTATATTTCTATAGGAAAGAGACATGCTCTAAAAATTATGAACTATTTGTTCAGTAATATTTTGCCATAGCCTTTAACCCTACTGCCCTGTAAAAATCTTTACAAATAACACTCTTCAAATTTTGTTGTTGTTGTTGTATGTAACAAATAAATGCATTGTTATAATTCTCTCAAACTATGCTCAGAGAAACTAAAGAATGAAAAGAAGAAGAAAAGAAATGTGAAGTCTTGGTCAGATTTTATAAAAATCCAGGCAGCTGAACAGATAAGCCAGCCTGGCAACTATTGCAATACTGCGGCCCCAAGTCACTAATAAGCATCGATTTTTAAGGATCGAGACCAAAAACAACACAGCAGAATTTCAGTGCATGAACAACTGTCTTCTGAAACAATCAAGTTTCTGAAAATTTTTGTTGTTGAAAGAAACACACCTCAGTCTGTATTCACCCCTTATGTGTAGACTATGGGTGTACAGAGCACTTCTTTATGTTAGTCCATATAACATGTATGTTTACGCACTGATATTCCTTCGTATCTGTAAACAACCAAGTATTTAGGCCTAGGGTGCCTACTATAATATTCCACTGGATATCTCCTTGATGGATGTGCTACAGTCCTGCCATAACACTTGGCACAGCATTAATAAATACACATACTTCATGGGATGTGATTATGATGAAAGAGCAATGTTTACTCAGTGAGGAATCAAAACCTCACACAGAGAAAAACGTTTTTATAAAATCAGATATGCAGATCTTTCCGCATAACCCGATTTTCTAGCGAAATCTCAACTCCTCGAGCCTTTGTCTTCTAACCCCAGAATTCAATTAGCTCGCATAATTACCTTCGCCTAGGTAACGACTCATAGCAGCTGTGTGAACTTTCACCTGTGCTGTTCCCGCTAGATAAAACTTGGCCAAATAAGATTACAACAGTGATTATGATGAAAGAGCAATGTTTACTCAGTGAGGACCCAGCATCTTTTCATGATTTTCCCCCCCCCCCCCCCCTTCCCCCCAGGCTTGGTGGACGAGTTGATGAACGAATCTGATTTCATCATAGCAAAGTTCCTGCTCCCTAACAAGACTCCACTTACCAGCAGGAATTTTATGAAAATACATCAAAGCAGGATAAAAGATGTTTTGATGTCAACTTTGACACACAGGTAACACAAACTGAGCAGCCAACCAATCAACCTGAATAACCAACAAATCAACTTGACAAACTAACAGATTGAATAAAAAGTCAACTTGACAAACCAACAAATCAACCAACCAACAAAACAACAAACCAATCAACTCGACCAACCAAAAAAAAAAAAAAACATCACACCTCTATACAGCATCTAGTTTAGACTTATCTCTAACCTTTTTCTATATTTAAAAAAAGGTTAAAAGTAACAAAATGTCCTTACCTCTCTTTTATCTTTATGCTTGTCAATTTCTTTCTTTAGTCTGTCCAGCTTCTTGAATGAGTCAAAGCTTGTGATATCATATACAAGAATGTACCCCTAAATAAATTAGGAAATACAGAAATGATTTTTTTTCAGTCCCGGGTAGATGTTACTTCAACATTTTCTATCTAAAGCAGTAGTGGCACCCCTTTGAATACAGGACAAGACACCCAAGCCTCCCTCCCCCAATCCCCGCTGCAGGACTGAAGCACGACTATGCCACCTTCACGGTAGATATTATAACCAACTCTCCTGATAGGAACCATCTGCCACCTTGCAGTGGCTGATGTATCAGAGGACTGAGCACACTTAGGGATGCATAATGTGTAAAGACATCGATTGTGATAACACACTGGTATAAAGTTATTGTACCTTACAGCAACAATCTTATGGAATGAAAAAACAGCTATAGAAGAGGTGTTACAGCAACAACTGAAATGGACTGGGTTAACACAAAAGAAGAATGGGGTGGACAAAATACAGAATCAGTGAATTTGCTGTGAGTTCCATGGTACTCAGAAAGTTGAAAGAAACAGCCAATGAATTATGCAAAATAAAAGTGTCTTTTAGCAAAATATGAAATTTTTTTCAGAGTTAGCATCACTGTCAAGAGGTAGGTCCTGTGCAGGTCGATACTCCCAGCGTGGCTCACTAGTAAAATTCCTGGTCCCTTGCTAGCTTCTTTGCGTCATGTATTTTTATGCCCAAGGCTTCGCCACTGTCCTGCTTCTCCACTGTCCTGCTTGTCCACTGTCCTGTTTCTCCATTTTCCTGTTTCTCCACTGTCCTGCTTCTTCATTGTCCTGCTTCTTCAATGTCCTGCTTCTTCAATGTCCTGCTTCTCCACTGTCCTGCTTCTCCACTGTCCTGCTTCTTCATTGTCCTGCTTCTTCAATGTCCTGCTTCTCCACTGTCCTGCTTCTCCATTGTCCTGCTTTTCCACTGTCCTGTTTCTCCATTTTCCTGTTTCTCCACTGTCCTGCTTCTTCATTGTCCTGCTTCTTCAATGTCCTGCTTCTTCAATGTCCTGCTTCTTCATTGTCCTGCTTCTTCAATGTCCTGCTTCTTCATTGTCCTGCTTCTTCAATGTCCTGCTTCTTCAATGTCCTGCTTCTTCATTGTCCTGCTTCTTCAATGTCCTGCTTCTTCATTGTCCTGCTTCTCCATTGTCCTGCTTTTCCACTGTCCTGTTTCTCCATTTTCCTGTTTCTCCACTGTCCTGCTTCTTCATTGTCCTGCTTCTTCAATGTCCTGCTTCTTCATTGTCCTGCTTCTTCAATGTCCTTCTTTCTTTAATGTCCTGCTTCTTCATTGTCCTGCTTCTTCACTGTCCTGCTTCTCCATTTTCCTGCTTCTCCATTGTCAACCCTCTTACTGGTTGACCTCTGTCTCTTCTTGTAGGAACCAAACCTTCCAGTAACATTCTTTTTAAACCACTCCTGAGTTTAACTCTTTCAGTCCCATGCAACATGTGATCTGCGTAATACTTTTCCACATGAATCCCAGCTATCGTATAATGTGTTCACCCCTATTTTACTCTTGGTCACAGCATACCAAAGAAATCTGGCTTTCTATACTGGTTACTTCTGCTGCATTATTTGCCTGTTTGCATCCATGACTTTTCATAGTAGTCATTCATTTTTCTATGAGAACTAGGGCTGTACCGAATAGTGATTTTCCCTATTTGGCCGAATATGAATAACGACCAACTATTCGGCCGAATACGAATACAAATAGTGTATAAAATATATCTAAAAAAACAAAACACACATGCATAATGTCAAATGTACACTGAACTTTTACCTCACATAAAGTAGCACAGAATAGACATCTTCTTCTTTAGCATTCTGAGCCCTTGAGGTTTACTGCTGCAGATATCACTCGTCTCCATTCAATTATCTGTCTGGCCTTCTCTTCACAATTTGTGACACCAGTTGTTTGCAGGTCTGTCTGGACATTATCTCTCGAACTTCTTTTTTGTCTGCCTCGTGGTCTACGCCCATTCTTTTCTCAGGTGTATACAGTTTTACTTCTCTGTCATTTGACATTCTTTCAATATGCCCCAACCATTTTAGTCTGTTAGCTCTCATGATGCCAGTGATCAATGGTGATTTAAACAGATTAGGTGTTACTTTGTTGCTTCTCACTCTCCATTCCCCGTTGTTTGCTTCTTTGATGGGTCTAAAGATTTGTTGCAAGACTGTTTTCAAAAACCTGTAATAAGGCCTCATCTTTTTTATTTCTGCTTCAAGTTTCAGAGCCATATAAAACGACTGGTCTTAACGTTTTATATATTTTGATCTTGGTGTTGCGAGACAGCACTTTGACTTTAGCAGATGTTGAAAGGCATAGTATAATTTTTTTCTAGATTGTATTTCTTCTCTCAGCATGTTTGAGCGGTTGAAGTTTGCACCCAGGTACTTATATGTTTCCGTTCGTTTGATTTTCATATTATTGACTTGGATGTAGGTGAAGTTTGTATTCTTTCCATGTCTAGTTAGTATTCGTACAAAATAGTAAACATTTAAAAACATTTTATGTTTTGCATCCTTCAGTCAGTCTGTGGTAACTAATAACTAGGAATGAAAGAATCCTAAGTATTATAACAAGTAATTAAACTTTGAAATTGTCACTGACAGCTTGGTTAATGCATGAAAGCTGCATAAGCTTTTAACAAAACCAATCGTTCCATGTTGTCAGTATTAAGGCCGTGTATGCAGAAGCTGGTGTAAGGTAACTACCATTCGTATTTGGCCCGAACGTAACTATTCGGCTGAATACCAAATAGTCAATAGGTCCACTATTTGGCCCCAAAGCAAATACGAAGCGAATATTCGGTACAGCCCTAATGAGAACCCCCTGGAATTGAATGAGTTAAAATGGATGAAGTATTTCAGATTCCAAGACATTATGCCTTTCTTCTTTTTCTTCATGCTCATTGGCTGTAAACTCCGGCAGAAAGTTCTAGTTGTTCAACCGCTTCTGGACTTCTGTTTTAGAAACTGAGTGTTGTGTGCACATCCTTTTCATTTACATGCAGACTGTTGGTTCTTTGCCTCTCAGACAGTCGCCTCTTACAGTCGCCATTCTGTTTCTGTGATGTGAATGCGCATGCAACCTAACAATCAGAGACATAAAGGTTGATGTTGCTGTCACCTAATGACAACTACATTTTCCTGCCATCCCATAGCCATTTATGACTTACTTATTGACTTCCCCCTTAAATAAACATATGAACATGTTTTGGTCTCCACTGATCCTGTAATATTTGTTTCTTTTCTATACATAAAGAAATGTGTTTACTCACGTCAGGGAAATTCAGATAGTGCTTTGGAAGATCAGAATCATTTCCATCCTATGGATAAAACAAAATTACCATGTGACAGTGTTCTTTTAGACCATGCCTGAAGAGAACTGACTGCCCACATCAGGAGGAGAGTTAATTGAAAGTACACGAGAAAGAAGAATGTCGATATACCAACGCCACACAGCAATGACTTAAAGTAGAAGAAGAAGAAAAATAAGAAGTCCATGCTATGATAATCACGTCTATCCACAATCTTCTTTCTCGTGTACTTTCAGTTAATTTTTACACAGATATCTCCCATGCCATCTCCTTTTACCCCTCCAGTTTTCAGATCATCATGATGTATTCCAGTTTTCAGACCATCATGATGTATTCCAGTTTTCAGATCATCATGATGTATTCCAGTTTTCAGATCATCATGATGTATTCCAGTTTTCAGATCATCATGATGTATTCCAGTTTTCAGACCATCATGATGTATTCCAGTTTTCAGATCATCATGATGTATTCCAGTTTTCCATCATGATGTATTCCAGTTTTCAGATCATCATGATGTATTCCAGTTTTCCATCATGATGTATTCCAGTTTTCAGATCATCATGATGTATTTCATTTTCAGATCTTCATGATGTATTCCAGTTTTCCATCATGATGTATTCCAGTTTTCCATCATGATGTATTTCATTTTCAGATCTTCATGATGTATTCCAGTTTTCCATCATGATGTATTCCAGTTTTCCATCATGATGTATTCCAGTTTTCAGATCATCATGATGTATTCCAGTTTTCAGACCATCATGATGTATTCCAGTTTTCAGATCATCATGATGTATTCCAGTTTTCCATCATGATGTATTCCAGTTTTCAGATCATCATGATGTATTCCAGTTTTCAGATCTTCATGATGTATTCCAGTTTTCCATCATGATGTATTCCAGTTTTCCATCATGATGTATTCCAGTTTTCAGATCATCATGATGTATTCCAGTTTTCTCCATATCATGACATGACCAAAGAATTCAGATTGTCTCTTTCTGATGTGGGTAATCAGTTTTCTTTGTGGGTCAGTTTCTTTCAAGACATCTTTATTATTCTTTTTATCTTTCCAGGATGTTCTCATCATTTATCTATAAAACCACATCTCTATCCCATAATTTTTTTTTTTCACTAATCCTCTAAGTGATCATGATTCGCTTATATAAATCATGACTGGAACTCTATAGCTCTTGAGAATTACCTCCCTCACCTTTGTCATGTGATAATACAGCAAAGCAATTGCTGTATATATACAGTAAGAAAGCAATGACAACTAGTGGGCCAGGTTATCAAGAACACAAAGGATAGAATGACATGGTATGAGTTGGTTGAGGGCCTATGCTCCATTCGGGTATATAGGGCAGAAAAAAAAAAAGACAAATAATATGATTGCCTGCAGCACTTGGATCGATACATGATGATGATGATGATAGTAGAAAACATGGCTATTCAGTAGTGAAAGAAAATTGATGAGAACATTATTACTATAATGTTTTCCTTCGCATGTGGTTTCTGGGGTCCTGCTGTTGGGGGGAAAGGGTACAGACCCACTACCCCCTACCAATGTTGAATTTTGAATTAAGAATCAACATCATAGCCCTCGGGACACCCCCATAAGCGATCCGTCCCCATCTTCAGCAGCAAATGAAGAGTTGCAATTCTGATGGCACCAGTAACTGTCTGATTGTGTATCCGTCTCCTCTTTCCCTAGGTGTTGAGCATCTGCCAGATCCCCTGGTAACTCCTCCCAGCGCCATTCTCTTGAGACCATAATGATCTATCTGTGCCTCCGCACTGTTCACTCGCTCCCAAATGGCCCTCACAATATCTAGTTTGTCATACATCAGTTCACCACCAAGTGGTGCATAGCCAGCAAGTTTATCTGCCTGCTCATTTTCCAACATCCCAGCATGACCTGGAGTAAATATCCAAAGGACGCTAACTACCCGGGACATCTAATGTCATGATTGCCACTCTGCACAGAGCATGTCTCCACCTTTCTCAACATGCTCTGTGAGTCAGCTACAAACACTCAGTTACCCCCTATCAAGCAAGTGTTAAGTCGACTAATTAGGGGGTTTCTTTCAAAGTCGGAGAGCACCTGCCTCCCAGGCAAGGAACCAAGAGTCTGCATACAAATAAGCCAGACTTGTAAAATGGATGTGCATGCAAACGCAAGTTCTGAAACAAGACCAAAGTCCACAAGTGGACAGAAAATGTACACCTGGCAAACGAGAAGAAAAAGACTTCAATGTTTCAATGCATTTCACAGTTTAAAAAAAAAAAACAACTCAAAATATAACTATTTAAAGGTTTCTATGAAGACATTCAAATTTTCTGTTGTTTTTCTGGGTACAACTCATGAAAGTCCCCCAATCTTATCAAATGCGAGATTTTGTAGGGAATTTTCCGAGACACTTCTTTAGTCTAGAGGTGTCATGTGTTCTTCATTTGGAAAATTTTAAGCACATCCGTCACCATAACAGCAACTGTCAACGAGAGAAAAACTACAAAAATTTCAATAATTTGATACTCATAAAACGTCACTTCTTCGGCGCTTCTCCCTGCAGTATGTCTTCCTTGCACACAGGTGCCTTCAGAATGTGAGACCTACTCACAACAACACATTCCAGAACCAACAGTAGTTCATAGAAAAGAGAGCTGAGAAAAGAAAGCTGCACACTTTCGTCTGGCAGACAGTCTGTCGACTGCATCGAATGAACTCTAGCAACTTTTTGGCATGCTGTGTACAGACGGCAAAGGAAGACACCTCATAACACCCCTAGAACATAGGACAGAATATGGAAACTGCTACAAAACCTTGCAGCCAACAAGATGGGGTGACTTTTGTGAGTAGTACCTTTTTCTGTATGTTTAAGGTGAGCTAATGTATGACAAGTTCAATGTGGTCAAGGCTCGATGTGAGCAATTAAACAAAGTGGAAGAGTAAAGAGCTCATTATGGTCTGAAGAGGATGGTGTAGCAAGGAAAGACAAGGAGATCTGGCCAACACTTTGGGGGGGGGGGGGGGGAAGCCAACATGTTCATACAATCAAACTGCTATTAGTATCATCAGAAATGGAACTGCACTGGATGCTGAAGATGGGGACAGAGCATTTATGGGAATATCCTGAGTCTTGTAATGTCAGATCTTGACTCAGCCCAACTCTATAAATATATTCAGGCTGACATGTACAAGTGCATGAAAAATAAGACAATGATGATGATGATGAAGAAGGAGGCAGAGGATAAAGAGAAGAAGAAGAAGAAAAATAATAAGCAATTAATAAATATTTAAAATGCTCACCGTTTACCTTCAATAATGATTCTGGCTGTAAACTATTAAAAAAAGCCCTTAAAAAGCAAATTTTACAACATGTAAGAAATTTTAAAGTTACTTACATTTAAACCAATGTCAAATATTCTGACTTTTTCCTTAACCCCTCGATCAGTTTCTACAACAGCCGTGTAAATATCTTCCATTGTATGGTGAGTTGGCTGAAAATTTCGGGAACAATTTGATAAAATATTAAAAAATGTATTATGGCATAAATGATTTGTAGATAACCAAGCGGATATCAGATTAGAGACAAAAAGAATTAAAGAAACAGATCCGTTGAAATATTTAGCTAGCAATTTTGACTGCCAAGGCAACACAAAGAAGAAAAAATGATACACACTAGCAAGGCATTAAGCAGTTTTTAAAAGTCTGGAGAAAATTAGGAATATAATATAGTTTCTTCTCAAATGGGTTTCATCTTTTTCTGCCCTGTATCTTCCCAGTGAAGCACAGGCCAACCTGTACCAGATGTGGTCAGTCACAACAAAACATAAAAGAAAATTAGTAACCATAGAAATGAGGGGTCTGAGAAAGACACCCCCCCCCCCCCCCCCCACACACACACACAAATTTGGCCCCCGGACCCACACAGGTGTCCTGGGAAAGTAAAGACGGCCGGCGTAATGCTGACCACATTACCCACCGAGTGCCGATTGGTCTGTAAAAATATGGGTGCTCTTCCCATATGCCCGATGCGCCTAAAGGCGTGTAAGGGGATCTTTGGCGTGATGCTGACCACATCACCCATCTTGTGCCGATTGGTCTATAAAAATATAGGTCTAGCCCTATATGCCCTATACGCCTAAAGGTGTGGAAAAGGGTCCTTTACTTTTTTTTACTTTTACCCACACAGGGAATGAGAGGAAATAAACAGAGAACTAACTTGCTAGCCAGTAAAAAAAAAAAAAACTGTGCAGACTGTTGGTTGCAGGCCTCTCATGCTCATGCATGCCAGCTTAGAAGAAAACATCGATTCTATCCAGTAATTCCCAGCAGGGAACCTGTTTTTAGGATCTTTTTTTCTTCTTTACGTTCACCAGCTGCAACTCTGGTGGAAAGTTCAGGTTGTTCCTCCACCTTTGGACTTTAAGTCTCATTTCGGAACCTGAGCCTGCACATTCATTTTCAGATCTGATGTATCTATGCAGATTGTTGGTTCATTGCCTCTCAGACAGAAGCACTCTGACTTTGAAGTAAGCCCCTAATTACTCAACTAATAAAACATGCTTGTTGGGGGCCTATTCTTGTGTTCCCTACATTAAGGCTTCATAATCCACATAGGGAATATTAATTACAGATTCTTTAATATGACTTGCAGATTCTATAATATAGACTTGCAGATTCTATAATATAGACTTGCAGATTCTATAATATAGACTTGCAGATTCTATAATATGACTTACAGATTCTATAATACAAATTAAAGATTCTATGACTCACAGATTCTATAACATAGCTTAAAGATGATAAAATATGTCTTACAGATTCTATAATATGACTTACAGATTCTATAATGATTACAGATTCTATAATATCATTTACATAGTCTATAATACGACTTAAAGATTCTATGACTCACAGATTCTAAAATATGTCTTACAGATTATATAATATGACTTACAGATGCTAAAAATATGACTTACAGATTCTATCAAATGACTTACAGATTCTATAATATGACTGCCATAAAGAAGCTGCTCCAGAATTGCTGTTTTTCCAACTCCAGAACATCCACAGAGGAGAATCTTGTTTGATTTACCCATTCTTCATTAGTCAACAGGTGCACCTTTTGTTAGCTATAAAAAAGGTTAACATTTCAAAAGGAGTTAACATGGTATAAACCAATAGGAAAAACACAAACATTAATTAACCAGTGCCTGCAAAGAATAAAAGGAACTGAATGGTATGATAGAATCACCAATGTGGAACCAAACTCCAGTGAATCAAGAGGTGAAGAAAAGATGCTGATATTGGATAGGACACCTGCTAAGAAATAAAAAAGGAAAAAAAAAAAAAAAAACTAGAATGTCTTGAAACTGGCACACAGAGGGGCAGATAAATATTGGTAGACAAAAACACAAGGACTAGGGAACTAGACAATGAAGTTAAAAAAGATGATGAGGACATGGGGTGAGGTGCCTGTGATAGCAAAGGATAGGACAATTAGTCATGGTTGTTGAGGGCCTATGCTCCTTCTTCTTCTTTACGTCCTCTTTTACCGCTTTGGGTGTCGAGGGAGATATAAGGTCCTGCTTCGTGCTCTTCTAGCTACTTCAACTATAGGCACATTGTGGTGCTGTAGAGTTTCTCTGATGTTATCTTCCCATCTTGTTCTTGGTTTACCTCTCACTCTACCCCCCTTCCTCTTTTAGTATATGCCTTACATGGTATAGCATCAGAAGGCGTTCTCTCCAAATGGGCAAACCATTTGATTCGCTGTCTTTGTATGTAATTTAGAATTGGTTTTGTGCTAACTTTATCTCGTATAACCTCATTCTTGATTTTATCTCTTTTGGTCACTCCTACATTCTTTCTCAAAAACCTCATTTCTATGGTTACTAATTTCCTTTTATGTTTTGTTGTGATTGACCACGTCTGGCCTGTGCTCCACTAGGAAAATACAGGGCAGAAAAAGATGAAACCAACATGAGAAGAAAATCTATTATTTGGCTCTTCTTATTCTTTTGTCTACTCTTGGAAAGCCTCATGGCATCAGGGAAGAAAGAGATCTCTTAAACAGGCCCTTCTGTTCCCTTCGTATATAGTACATTTCAGTGTCTCTGATATTTCTGCGGTCTATCTAGTCAGTTCGTGAGATCTCGTCATTTTCTCTGAGCACTAAAAAAACCAACTGTTGGTTTGCTAGACCAGTCACAGTGTTTTCAAACTTTCCAGAAGGCCATACTTGAACTAGACTTATTATTTGGCTTTGCCAGTAAAAAAAAAAAAAAAATTAGAACAAGCATAAAAGGTATAGTTTCTGGATGAACAGGAAATTTCACATAGGATAATGAGGTATAGTCCTCCATTTTGCTTCTATCCTGCGCAATCCTTTTGATAAAATGACTGGAATCCAGTTCAGAAATGTTGGCCCCTCTCAATAATGTTTGTTTAGGGTTTCTTTTGGATAACCTCATTTACCTAAACCATTTGTTTCCCAGTTCAGAGCCTGTTTAGTTATTCTGCCTTTTCTCACGGTGATGATATGACCAATATATTGCTATTTTATCTGTGTATGTGTGTGTGTGTGTGACAAATATATATTGTTTACTACATTCTAACTATTTAGCAAAGACAGGACTAAATTACTGTAGAAATCAAAGTTTTTTTTTTCCCCCAGATCTGGGTTTTTTTTCCGCTGAACAATATCTGGGTTTTTTATTTGAATACTAGTTGAATAATATTAATTAATACCTACCTATCATACAAGCTTCAAACGTTGGTTGATAGTACTTTATACTGAGAAGTTCCTAGGTTTAAGTCACTAAGGACCCGGGCATTATTATTTTAACGATGCTATAAAACTCGAGATTTTTAGTAGTATTAGTAGTAAAGAAAAGACAAAAGACAAGCCAGCCTCGCCCACTTCTTGTCAGTTTAACTTCCTCAAATAATGCGACTCCACAGACTGACGAATTCAATTATGTCTTACTCGTTTAAGGAATGAATATAACAAAAAATAAACAAAATTGTATTCAATCCGTTATAGAAACTAATCACATTTATGTTTATTTTGAAGGTGTCCTAATAAATATTTTCTAAGTTCAAAGAATGTGTAAATTCTTGTAAATTGTTTGCACTCTTCTGCTAGGAAAATAAAAAAGGAGCGTGGGCTATTTTGATACCGTAATTGAATTGCATAAATGAACACATTAATTATAGCTTATAGTTAAATAAAAACTACAAAGAAAACATATATACTATTTGCAATTATAAAATTCAACATAATTATATCACTAAATAATGTATAATTATGTTCTAAATGATAAAACAGATATTTATATATAACAAGAGAAAGAAAATATGTTGTATTGGAGTTAATGCTCGTATGACTACTTAGATCAGTAGTCGGATAGTCCCAGCGACGTCCACGCCCACTTCCGTCAATAATACGAAGGAATGATCGTCTGCAAACGTCCAAGCGGCGACTAGGGAATATTGAACTTCTCTTTCTCCAGATACTTCAGCGAAGTGTTGAATGAAAATTGCTAAGTTTCGTGTGTGTTTGTGCAAAGCACTTAGCTAACCATGGCACGAAGAAATCCTCCACCACTTGTGACTGGAGTCTCGCCAAAGGAGGGGCCGCCAGGTACAAGGATTACAATCAGAGGAGAAAATCTTGGAGATGATCCCAGGGACCTTATCGGTAAGTGAACATTTTAAAAAAACTAAAATAAGTAATACATAATTCATAATCTGTTTCAATCTCCACTTATTACTGGCATCACGAAGGCTAATAGACTGCAGTGGTTGGGGCATACAGAGAGAATGGCAGAAAACAGAAACAAGAACTACCAGCAGGAAAGAGCTAACGGCTCTCCTTTAAATAATGGGCACTCTTCCGAATACCGGTCCCAAATTATTCGCAGCGAAAAACATCGCTTTGGAAGCCTCAAGAGGTTATGTAGTAACAACATTTAGGCCCTCATCATCAGTTTCCACTTCTGTGGTAATAGCACGAAGGATAGCAATGTTTAGACGTTAAGCTAAGCTAAGTAGGGAGGAATAGTTCTCGATCCATTGAAGTAATTTAAGGAAGACTAGATTTTGATCCAATGTTGAAGCGTTGTGGGGAGGAGTAGTTTTCAATGCATTATAGCGATATGGGCGTGGGGGGGGGGGGGGCTGTCCCTGCGTTGGGCCGACCGGGGGTAGGGGGGTTAGTTTTTGATCCATTGTTCACAGTAACTGTGACTCGCCTTGTGGGTTCCAGGGCCACATGTTTGAGAAAAAAATAATATGTTTTTCGCAGTGAATAATTTGGGACCGGTATTCGGAAGAGTGCCAAATAATGGTCGCTAGCTGGAAGGCGACGGCCGCTTAGTCGGAGTTCACTCCCCTGGCTGCAGTGCAAATATGGAATGGACAAGTCACGAATCAAAAAATAAAGTGAGGTCGACATCTAGACCACGCCCTGCGACTGACAGTAGCCATGACCGCGGTCTTGCGACGCAAGACTCTCGTAGACCACGCGCTGCGACTCAAATTAGCGACTGCGTTCTTCCGACGCAAGACATAGTGACCGTAGATGTGAGACCTGCGGATCTGTATGTCGTAATGAGCGATAAGCTTCCGTCGTTTCCTTAATGTGTTACCCTAACCCTACCCCTAACCCTACCCCAAATCCTAACCCGAACACTAAGCCTAACCCTAGGATGACAGGTAACTATATCATTTGTTTTGTTCCTTGTTTTCCACTCCGTAATTGCACTGCAGCCAGGGGAGTGAACTCCGACTAAGCGGCCGTCGCCTTCCAGCTAGCGACCGTTATTTAACCCTTTCGCTGCTATGGACGTCTTTTCCCGATTTCCCGTACGCTGCTACGCCCGTCTTTGGACGTTATTTTTTTTCTTGACCCCCAGTGCTATGGACGTCCCAAGCCGTTTTTGGACTTTTCTTACAGATTTCTATTACCTCGTATTTTATTGGCTGAAGGACAATATACATTAGCTATATTTAGATTAAACTGACCCATTTACATACGATTAAAAGCACTGGCACGTGCTTTTATGCGTGTTTAAGGTGTGTTTACTGCATTCTGCCTTATCCCGTTGCTTTGTTTACCGTGACAGCGTGGTCGGTGATCTGTGTATTTTGTGCCCTGATATATATTTGTGCTTTTGGATTATTCTACACGTAGTACAAAATGGCAAGAAAACTTGTTAAAGTTAATGAAGAATTGATGGAGTTTCTGTCAAGAAGTGATAGCGAAGATGACTTTGAAATGTGTACTTCTGACAGTGAACAAGAAGATTTGACTAGGCCATCAGTATCGACTGCTGAAACCGGCGTCTCCAAAAAAAAGCGTTTTGCCTGTCCGACGTCCTCAACTCGTCGGAATCAGAGAGCAGCGACAATGAAGCGCCATCAAAACGGCAATAAATTGATCAGTTGTCTTGATGAACGAAGAACCGATAATTTGAAACCAGTAGTGCATAATTTTGATGACTCCAGCTCTATCTGTATTTCTGCTACTGTAAATTCAAACAGTTCAGTCACTAAAAATTATCGTCCTTTCCCCGATGGACAGACACAGATTCGGACGAACTTTTTTTTGCTGTCTGTCTACTAATGCTTAGAACAAAGAAACAGGTAATAGAGTACTTGAGCAAAGACTGTTTGCTAGAAAACTCCCGTAAAATAATGTCGAGGGACCTATTTTTACTATTTTGTGAGATTCTAAAAACATTTCTTCTGAGAATAAGTGCTCATGCAGGTGGCGATAGACTACAAGCATAACACGTTATTGATTACTGCGCACATCATTCTTTATCTACATAGCGCAAGAGTCAAGGGTAGCATAGTGTAGTTGGCAAACGTTCGCCTTTAGAATCGGAGGGTCGTGTGTTCAACCCCCGATGTTTTTTTTTTTTTTTAATTAATTGTAAATTTTCCTGTCAGTTCCTGCTACTTTTCAACAACGGACGACTCAAGTATTATTATTAATATTTAAAAAAAAATTATTTTGGTATGTAATAACATGGTGACTACAAATAACTATGATTAAAGTGGCAGCCGTGGTAGGTTCGTCAACCAAATTTTGGGATACGGACTGGGAACAGTTCTTCCCATTTATTCCCCCCCCTCCCCCACCCCAAAAGGGTGATTGCTCCGTTAGTCAAGTTTGTGGGGCACCATCGTGCCTCTGACTTGTCACCACTTGGACCAACCACTCAACTCCCCAGGGTAAAATTGTTTAGGTGTACAAAATATAGCCCTCACCGCCGACGTATCTTTTGCGTTTGGAGGATAGAAAAGTATTGCGCATAGCAGAGACTTTTTTTTTCACATTGCTTAGCACAGGGCAGACAGCTATTTCCGGGAACGTAGCAGCGAAAGGGTTAAAGGAGAGCCGAGCTAACTAACTCACAGTTGATCACGAAGCAGAAATAGTAATAGTAGGTGTTGGGGAGATATACTTCATGTACACAGGCAGACCTACAAACACTTAGAGTCACCAGATGGAAAGAGAAGGCTAGTCGCAGAGATGAACATAAATTTCTTAGTGATTCATTGACTTTTTAGCTTTTTATTTTAGTATCTAGTAATCGTCCTGCCCAGTCCTTTGTTCAAACTAAATCAAACATTGTATACTAGTGTTGTCTCACTGTTTAGATTTAGTTGAAATATGTTTCCTCTGAAAATATATTGATTTCGCACCTAGGTTTGAAGTCAACAACACTTTTAAAGACAGCTGTAAATTTAAGCCACCTTGACCCTCTGTATTATTGCAACTAAAGCTCACGTGAGGTGGGACCCAAGTAACATTGGGGCTAAATGCTCCCCTGTAAGCCGGAAGGTCTAGGTTAAAATCTGCATCAAGGCTTTTTTTCAAAATTGACCTTGGCTTCCAGGTAAAGATAGCTGGCAGATGCTCAATCACATCAACCATAGAGTGCCGATTGATTTGTAAAAATTATCTTGTTCTTTACTTTCACTGGCTGTAAACTCTGGTGGGAAGTGCTGGCTGTTCATCCACTTTTGGATTTTAGTCTTATTCCGTTACCTGAGTTTTGTGTGCCCATTCAATTTACAGATCTGGCTTATTTATTTGCAAACATCTGGTTTCTCACCTCTCAGGCAGATGCACTCCAGCTTTGAAAGAAACAGCCCTCATTAAACTGTTACATCATGCTGCTTTTTAAGGGACACTGGGCCTGTTTTTTGTGTATGTATTCCCCACAGTGGGACCCGGAAACCCACATGGGATATCAAAGGCATGAAAAGGGTTCCTAACTTTGTACTTCATGTGAGGTGGCTTATACAGAACAGTTGTGCAGCACGTAGTCAACATCAGACAATTTTAGATGTTGTAACCATGTGTTTCTTGCAGGTCTCAAGATATGTGGTATGGATTGTCTCTTGTCCGCTGAATGGAAATCTTCAAGCAAGATTATTGCAAGAACTGGTCCAGGAAAGGGCAAGGGAGACATTATACCAATCACCCGATCAGGCGGTAAAGGAAGTTGTACAGTAGGCTTCAGAGGGTATTTCCTTCAAATTGGTGAGTCATTTGTTAATACAGCCGCACTCTGTGCCTGTTGCTATCCTGGGGTTGGGTCACAGTATCATGTAAAAGATAAGCAGTTTGCTTAACTTGTAAGTTGTTTGATGTATGATTGGTGTGTGTGATTTAGAAGCAGTTAGAAAATTTAACAGTGACTTAAAAAAATTTTGTGGGATACAAGATTTGGTTGCATTTACATTCTACAAGATCTAAACTTTAAAGAAAGCTGGCTCATAATAGTATACTATCTCATAGACTTGATATTTATTTTTCTTCCTTTCCTCCTCCTCCTCCTTTTCTTCTTCTTCTTCTACTTCTTCCTTTTTGTATGACCTTTATTCCCAGTAGAGCATGTAATTCTGAGATACCCAGTTCGATCCCAGCTGCAGGAGATTTGTAGCAGACACCCTTGTGTTGTTTTTCTACAATGGTATCGAAAGCTGACTGTTCACAAAGCACTGGCAAACTACTGAACATAAAATTGACTAACAAAATCACAGTAAAAAAATGTGGTTAGTTCTGCAATGTCTCTGAAAGGGGACACAGCTAACTCTCTCTCTATAGAATTAAAATAGTGGATTAAGCCTGATCATCTCTACTAGTTTATAAGATATTTAATATTGACTTTTATCCTCCAGTGAACGTTAAATTGTGACAATGGAAGCTTGTCTTACCTAAAGAAAAACATGGAGGGTTGGACATTACTATCTCCAACAGCCTTACAGTTTACAACGGGCATAGACATCAAAACCTAGATATATGGAGTTTGCACAGAGCTCATCAAATAAACATAAAAGTCTCAGAGCTCTCCGAACTTCATCCCCCCCCCCCCCCCCCCCCCCCCCCCCCCCGACACTTCACTCAGGTACAAGGTGGAAGAGAAGAAAAAAAGGAGAAGATGTTGACTTTTTGTTCTTCTTCATCATTCTGAGCACATGAGGTTCATTGCTGCAGATATTACCCACCTCTATTGATCTCTGTGATTGGTCTTATTATTCCAGTTGATGACGCTAATTGTTTGTACTTTTGTCTGTATACTATCTTTCTACTACCTGTATACCACCTTCAGACAAAGCTTAAAGTATACAGAGCAATTGTATTAACTACATTGCTGTACGCATGCGAAACGTGGACTGTATACCAGCGCCAGGCTAGAAAGTAAAACTACTTTCACACAGTCTGCCTTAGAAAACTAGTGCATTTCAGATGGCAAGACAAAGTACCTAATACTGTAGTCCTTGAGAAAGCAGCGATGCTCAGCATCCACACTCTACTGATGCAGTATCAAATTTGTTGGGCTGGTCATGTGGCACGCATGCTAGATCACAGGCTCCCAAAAAAACTCTTCTTTGGTGAGCTGCAAAATGGGAAACGTTCCCAGGGCGGGCAAAAGAAACACTTTAAGGACACCTTGAAGTCTTCACTCAAAGCATTTGGGATGAATGACACCTATTGGGAGGCTGCCTCTCAAGACCGAAATGCATGGCGTCCAGCTCTACTCAAGTGCGCGGTTACATGTGAAGCAAACAGAACAGCAAGACTTATTAAGAAAAGAATGGACAGAAAGGCGACTGCAGGAGATCTCCTCCCTGGCACAACGCTCATTCCCTGTCCTCACTGTTCTAGAACTTTTCGGGCCCGCATCGGCCTCATCAGTCATCTTCGTACTCATACTTGATGAAAAAGAGTGGTCATCATCATCTTTATGGACAACACACATACACATACCACCTTCGTGATGGGCCATATGGCCTGCTCGTATTCAGCTCTTTTATGCAGTTTTTTCTCCCTCTTGTCTGCCATTCGCTCTATGTGCCCCAACCATTGCCTGTCTGTAGCCCTTATGGTGACAGTAATTAGTGGTGACTGTAACAGATTATGAAGTTTGTGTGTTTGCTTCTCACTCTCAGTTCTCAGCTGTAAGCATCTTTAATGGGTCCATCAATTTAATGTTAGCCTCTATTTTCAAAAGTATGCAATGAAGCTTCATCTCTTTTAGATTGACTCCAAGTTTCAGAAATGTATAGGAAAACTATCTTTTATGATTAATTATTAATATCTATTAACATTAACTGTTAATTATTATTATTTCATGGTTTTCTCAAAACATATTGATGCTACCTTTTCTATAGTGTAATCAAAGCAGGCCAAAAGAGGGATCTTGCTGCATAGGCAACTTTGTCTCTTCAATACTGCCCATGCTTAGTTCTGTGGAGAGGAGGTATCTCGCTGGTCACACATGCCATCACTATAGGCTGTGATTCCCCTGCCTCGATATAGATCCATATAAAATTATCGACTGGGAAGACCGAAAGGTACCAACAAAAGCAGCAGTGATTATTTGAAATGCATTTCTATGAGAGGCATTATTTAATGTCATTTTCCTCCAGGGCCACTTCAGGAGTCTGCAGTGTGGATTGATGAATCTCAGACTGTTAGACCAAACTTGGATCATGGAAGACCAACAGCTGCCATCGCTGCCAAAGAAGAAGAAGACCCTTTGGGAATTCTGCATGAAGGCGACAGGCAAGTAATATGCATCATCATCATCATCATGAAGTATTTGAGTACCTTTTCTGGTCATAAATGTTCTTGAAAGTTTAACTTGTATAGAAGCCTGTTATGTACAACTCTTTTATGTCTCATATAATTATGGACTAATAGATGTGTGCATGCCTGTTTTGTTAGGGTATTTTCTTGGCTTACACCTTTGTCTTATTCCCAGTACTTGCTATTTTTTGGTGTTTCTTCTTGCTGCTAAAAGACATGTGAATACATTGTACCATAGATAAGAGGTTGTACTCTAAACCTGTTGCTTTTATATTTACATATGGTAGCAAGTAAAATATAAGCAAAGGTCCCTTTTCACACCAATTGTGCATTAGGTATATTTAGTTTGTCGAGATTCCAACATCACTACACATAGGGTTGCCCCATTACACCTCTATTCCTGAGCCAGTAGAAATCTAATGAAAAACAAGTCAGTCTCAGCAAAGTCTTGAAGCTTGCACAAGCAGAGTAAAAAATGAATAAGGTAGCTGTCAGATGTGCTGACACTAATGGTCTCACAGTAGAACTGCAGTTCACGGTTGGCCCATGCAGTCGGTCACATCAGCCAGCATTGCACTGCAACGGACACAGCAAGAAAAAAAACCATTCCACATTAAATCAAAGCTCACAGTGTCACACCAGGCACCCAGCTCAGTAGCTGGGTGGTGGAACCTGTTAACTCCTGGTCCAGAAATGGTGAATTTGCATCAGCAAAACCTATTTGTAAACAAATAACTTTTCAGAGCATCCGTGGTCAGCGGGCTAACTTCCATTTTGGTTGGAAGTTGTTAGGTATACAGTAAAATCATGTTACCGTACATATCTATTAAGTATTAAGAGATTTCATTTATCCATCTGTTTGATTATCCATCACACTCCTGGTCTGGTGACAGTTAGTCAAATTTTTACTGTATATGTATAGATAAATGGTTTTTGGTTTATACAACAATCAACATCATGACACAAGGGTAGTAACCCTTAAAAGCCTGAAAATCTCAGCGCAGTGCACAAACTCTAGCACCCGCGAGGGTCATGAAGTACTTTGGGTAGATTTTAAACTCAAAATTTTGCCCTGGTGGCACCGTCAGGTTACTTCTTTTTTTTACATGCACAGCAATACACATGGGCATCCAATCATAAAACCCAGAGACTGGAGGAAATTTCTAGAAGTCCAGGTGAAAAAATCCCAGCTTTCACCGGGGCTTGAACCCAGGACCCCCTGCACCCAAGACAAACACAATGCCTCGGGACCACTCAGTTAGTCAATGTTAAATGTGTTTTCATTGTTCCTTTTTTACTCTCTTTCTGTTTCAGACCTAAACTTAGTGAGGAGGAATTGCTTGAAATGTTCCCTGAGGGTGAGTAAAATCATTGTTCACTTCTTCAGTTTCCTAAACACAAATGTTGACAACTACGGTCCTGAAATTCCATGCTGTAATTGTGGATGACTTTTCTTAACGTGGGTGAGTCTTGTTAGTCACTCTTAGTCACACTCACCATCGCCATGGGCTGTGAGTCCGATGCCTCATCATAACACAATATAACACTCATCATCATCATCATCATCATGTTTCCACTTCTACCATTAAGCATTGTGGGTAGAAAAAGTTTGCGATCCATCGCTTGATTGGCAGCAATGGCTATTATCATTCCTTGTCAATGTAGAAGCTCTTTAATGTTATCAGTCCATCCTATTCTAGGGCGGCCTCTTGCTTTCACTTCAGATCTTTTCATGTGAAGTGCCTGGGTTGGTAATTGTTCTGGCTGTATTCTTACTAAATGACCAAACCATGGGATCTTCTATTTCTCAATGAATTTGCTGCATGGTGTTGTTCCTTCAGTCTGGTGATATCATTTCTAACTTTGTCTCAGATGATTAAGTTGGCAGCCTTTCTCAGGCATCTCATTTCATAGGTGGTAATTTTACGTAGGTTAGCCTTTGATAATGTCCAAGTCTGGTACTGGTAGCACAGTTTTGGTATGATTAGCAATATAAAACTATCGTCTGGAAAGAGGGGGAAGGATGCCAGTCAAACATTTTCAGTCTGAGAACATTTTTCAGTAAGAGCCAAAAAGGAAACATACTTATCCCCTCTGTGAAAGGGAGATCTTGGTTCAGTCCTTGCTAAAGGATGTTGATTGTTAGCTTTTGGGAGCAAAAACTCCTGACCTGCACAGTTTGTGGCGACTGCACTAGCCATGCAGCCCTAAATCCTCATGCTAATATCCCCCTGTCCTACACCAGTGAAGTAGTAAAAGCAGGCAGTAAAGACAGATTTTGTTTGAAAGTTGTTCAGTAATTTTAATGTACTAGACTTCAGGTCATATGGAGGATAGACATGTTTATTGATTTTAGCTGTGAAAAGTATTTGCTTCTGACAATGATTGGCTATTGCGTCTTTGTTTTTGCATATGTAGACTGAAAGGATATAGTTTTGTCGCCCAGCTGATGAGTATGGCACGACACTATGAGCTGCAAATTTTATTTGAAATGCTTTTCGACTGTGCCAAATTGGTTTATTTTGCAAACTGTGGATTCAGAAAATGGCCAGTAGCATGTTGCAGAGAACTTTTTGCGCCATATCTGATTAATTGCGTTTGCAACTACTGATTTGTTATAGCTGCTGCTTCTGTCGATGATGGATAGTATTTCTAATGTTGGACTTTTGTGTTGGCACTTCTGGTGGCTGCCTTTTGCATTTAATGCGCGTATATGCTATTGGATTTGCTGAGACTGCAGTTTGTGTGAGGGACAGTGATGACCATTGTGTGTGGCTTTTCACTGGCACAGGAACGGGGCAAATGTGGGATGACCCGCTTTCTGTAAAGTTGGAACTATGATTGCCTGATTGCACTACTCATAATTTGCCAGATATTTTTTTTTCCATATTTCACTAACCTGTTGTTTGCTGACATGAATTGTTGTTTTTTTTTTTGAAGCCTCTGGCAACATGTCACTGGAAAATTTTGCACCTGGTTGGTATTTGTTGGAACGCCATCAGAATGCTAAGTAAGAGATGTAAATCTGTGTTTACCTTTTTGTCTGCCTGTCTTTCTCTTTCCACTCCTTCGGTACCAGAAGGTTTCACAGGAGATGCCAAAGCGAAGAGAAGACTGTGATGAAAAATCATGAATGCATTACTTGCAAAATGGGCAATATACGCAGTTGTAATTACCAGTGGGGAAGCCAGATGATTTGGGTCTGCTGACTAAATGTTTTAAATAAAAGAACACAAAATGCTGTAGAGGGAATTGAGCAGGCAGATAGACTAGCTAGTTCTTCATCACTTGGTGGTGAACTGATGTATGACAAGCTGGATGTTGTGAGGGCCCTTTGGGAGCGAGTGAACAGTGCCGGGACACAGAAAGATCATACTGACTGAGGAGAATGGCACTGCGAAGAGTTACAAGGGGATCAGGCCGACACTCAAGGGAAAGGCAAGACGGATATACAATCAGACAGTTACTGGTATCATCAGAATTTTAACTCTTTGTTTGCTGCTGAAGATGGGGACAGAGCGTTTGTGGGGGTGACCCGAGTACTGTGATGTTGATTCTCAATTCAACATTTCAATATGCAATAGAAGGAAATAGAGGGATAGAGTCATCCGCACACTAGGCATTGCTTAAGATCGAAAGAGTTAAGTATTGTTCCAGTGTATTGTAGCTTTCTAGTATCTGACTGACTTTGTGCCTGTTGCTCTTCTATCTTCTTATTTTTATCTATTTGGGGATAAATAATAGAAAGAGATTGTTTAATTAAACAGTACACAGTAAATAATGTAAGTGATTCTTATCTTGTTGTTTATTGTCAAGCTTTGAGGATCTTAAGGCGGGACTCAGCTACATGAAAAGAAAAGCTGGCCAGCGATCAGAGGGCCCTATAACCATAGTTCGCTCGAACCTAACATCAATCTTAGATTGTCTAGACAGCCTCTCAGGTATTACCAGTTTTATTTATGTTTACCTGCCTGTTTATTATCATAAGTTTAATTTATTAGCGCCTCTGTAATACAAATATAATTTGTGGGGAGAATGGTGCTGCAAGGAGTTACCAGGAAATGTGGCCGACGCTCAACACTCAGGGGAAAGAATGAGACGGATATACAGTCAGACGGTTACTGGTACCATTGAAACTGGAACTCTTCGCTTGCTGCTGAAGATGGGAACTGTGCACTTATGGGACTGTCCTGAGTGCTGTGATGTCGGTTCTTAATTCAACATCCAACAAATATAATTGTGTGCCGATTATCATAAGTTTAATTTAATAACACAAATGAAGTGGTTTGGACACCTAACAAGAATGCCCTCGTACTATCTGCCACAGCGAGCCACACTAAAACATTACAACGGGTATAGAGCGAGTGGAAGACCTCGGAAAATATGGAGTGATGGCATTAAGAACAGCCTTACAGAAATGAACATCAGTCTTAATAGTGCTCTTGACAGAGCTCATCAACGAATGTTACATCTCCCCCCGACACTTTCATGAGGTACAAGGTGGAAGAAGAAGAGAAATTAGTTATATAGGGGAAATCGCATGCAAAAGAGCAGAAACAAGTGTGTGTGTGTGGAAGGCGTTAACTTTTTTCGGGGTGTTAACCCTTTCAGGCCCAAGCAGTGTGCGATGTATAATTAGCTTTTATATGAATCCCACCAAACACATAATGTGTTATCATATATTTTCTTTACATATAACCATAGCAGACTACGAACGAAGCTGGACTTTTTTCAAACAACGACCTTGGCTCCTAGGTCAACCCAGCCTTAAATGGATACGGGGTAAAAATCCTGGAAAGTAGAGGCAGCGAAAGTGATAATCACATCACTAGTCTCTCAGCAGTCAGTGCTACAAGAAAAATATCGAAGAATAAAGAATAATGATGTATGTTGAAACACTGGGTCTTGCATATAACTCATATGTACAATCCTAACTGTGCTAATATTGTATGTTGCAGCCATGTATGAAAAATATAATGAAGATGACATACGGGGCAACTGTATGAACTCATATGTACAATCCTAACTGTGCTAATATTGTATGTTGCAGCCATGTATGAAAAGTATAATGAAGATGACATACGAGGCAACTGCATGAACTCATATGCTGTTCTGCTGATGCGTACGTATTCAAGATTGTGTACAGTACACATTTTGTTATGAAACTTCTGTTCTTGTTGACTTTCATTCTTATATTTGTATGTTGTATTGTCTTCTTCTTTTTTGTTTCTCCTGCCTGTGGATTTCTAATGAGACGGTCGCAGGCCTCTTTAACGTCTGTGGCGTGACACATGTCTCCTGATCCACACAGCTTGGTTTCCATCGGAATGTCTTCTTCTTCTTCTGCCTTTCTATCCCCCCAATGGAGCATAGGCCCTCAACCAACTCCCGCCAAGTCGTTCTATCCTTCGCCATTGCATGGAGCTCTCCCCATGTCCTCCCCATCTTTTTAACTTCATTCTCCAGCTCTCTTCTCCATGTGTTTTTGGCCTTTCTTTATTCCTATGCCCCTGTGGGTTCCAATGCAAAGACATTCTAGTTATGCTGTTCTCCTGTTCTCTCATTGTGTGTCCTATCCAACGCTAGCGTCTTTTCCTCACCTCTTGGTCCACAGGAGCCTGTTTAGTTCTCTCCCAAAGTTCTACATTAGTTATTCTATCATACCATTTAATTCCCTCTATTCTGCGCAGGCACCAGTTAATGAATGTCTGTAATTTTTTAGTTATTGTCTTAGTTGTTCTCCATGTTTCCGCCCCATACAATAGTACTGATTTGACATTAGAATTGAAAATTTTTAGTTTAGTATTTTTTTAAATTTCTTTACTTACTTACTTTAGTCGCTCCTCTTCTACCTTGGGGTGTAGAAGTTTGCCAGAGAGGTCGCCAGATGTCTCTATCAGCAGCTTTCTTCCTGGCTTTGTTCCATTCCAGTCCTCTGTCAGTTATGGACTGTCGGATGTTGTCTTCCCAGTGGACCCTGGGTGGCCCTGGAGGTCTGGTTCCCTGGTTCTGAGTCTCCCATGCCTGCCATTGTGGCTAATTTTCTCCCATTCTGCATAAATGTCCAAACCATCGTAACTGTGACTGATCCACTCGAGTTTGAAAGGATTGGGTATCAAGATTTTGACGTATTGTCTGATTGCGGACTTTGTCCCTTCTTGTCACTTGGACCACCTTTCTCAGGTATCATCGGAATGTCAACCAGCCAAACCTAGGATCTTCCTACTGCATGCAAAGATTGCTCTTTTTGTTATCATCTGTTGTCCAGCTATTCTCTTTCAACACCAGCAGTACCTATGGTTATTCATCACATCAGCAAAGTTATCGGTCTTTAAGTTTTTGCATCTATGGCTGCGGAGTCTACTGTGTTCAGTTCGGAATCTAAATATAATGGTTTTGTTCATTATTCATTTAAAGATCATCTTCGTCGCACACTGGACATGATCATAAGTGCTCCAATCTCCTCCTGAGTATTTCTCTGAGTGTTCTGGTTGAAGTAACGACAGGTGGTTCTTGCGTGGTTGTCCTGTCTTGCGGCTCAAATTGGTACAGCCAGGGTATGCAGTCTTTTCAATGAAAAATCATTTTCCACAAAACTGAAAGCTTCACAGTGTTTAGCCTCTTGTATAGCATTGATGATGTCTCTCCTGTTTATAGATGGCCCATTCCTGATAGTCACATATGTGTGTTGTTGATCACACAGGGCAGCCATAATGGTGTACTTCTTTCAAGTGATATGGGGGCCATATGGGAGGGGCCAATTTATTAATGAGTTAAAATGGCTTAGAGAGATGAGTTTGTTAATACTGTTAAATGTACACAACTGACAGAGACTGGTTTAATATTACTGTCAGAGATTTTTTTTCTGGTGGTATGCAGAACAGTACCGGCACCTTTTATAGACATCATTTGTTTCAGCACTACTGGCATAGAAACTTTGTGGTACCAGCACCTTTTTTAGAGACTTTGTGATGAGTGCTAGCACCTTTTTCTAGGGAAAACATCCCTGATTGTTGTTGCATGTTTATGACTGATAGAGACCAATCTGTTTATATGTATATGACTTACTGAGACACGTTTGTAATTATAGTTAAATGTACATGATCAATAAAGCGACCAATTTGTTATTATAGTTAAATGCACATGACCGACAAAAAGACCAGTTTGTTATTATAGTTAAATACACATGGCCGACAAAAAGACCAGTTTGTTTTATAGTTAAATGCACATGACCGACAAAAAGACCAGTTTGTTATTATAGTTAAATGCACATGACCGACAAAAAGACCAGTTTGTTATTATAGTTAAATGCACATGACCGACAAAAAGACCAGTTTGTTATTATAGTTAAATGCACATGACAGACAAAGAGACTGCATACCAATAAACCAGGTCTGTTAAATGGATGTACATGCAACACTTAAGTTCTGGTACAAGACAGAAGTCCAGAGGTGGACGAACAACCAAAACTTTTCCCTGCTGTTAACAGTCCAGGGAACATGAAGAAAGATAAGAAGAAGAATTCAGCTGCAGGCAATTTTACAGTAGACAGTCAAATGGAAAGTGACTTTTCAGTAAGTAAAAGCAAACTATTGACTGTTCGATTGCATAGTAGAACCACAAACATTATCTGCAATATCTTGTAAAGCAAGTAATTTTATATATATTTATGTATATATAAACTGGCAGAGACTAGTTTGTTTGTTAAAGTTAATTGTTCGTATCCGACAGAGGCCAAGTCTTGTGCTGATGGACTGTTTCAAGAGGTGTTAGGACGAAAGGACAAGGCTGATTCAACCAGAAATGCTTTGAGTGTTATCCAGAAGTTCCGCTTTTTATTTCATCTGCCACTGACTATCCAAAGAAACATCCAGAAAGTAAGTATAGTAAATTGCGTTTCCAGTGTACATTTATTATTGTTGTTGTGCCGTTTGCTGGTTTTAATTTCGATTTATCTTCCCTTAATATTAGAGTAGTCTTTCCTTGCCAACCCATGGATTATTTGGTTTAGATTATTGATAAAGGAGAGCTGTGATGGCATAGTGGCTTGATACTTGCCTGCGGACCTGAAGGTCTTTGGTATGAATTGGCATTAGACCAGATTTTTTGCAAAATTGTTCTTAGCACTCAGCCTAAAATCTACCCCAGAAATGCCCTGGGAAGTAAAGGAAGCGTATGTAATGTTGACCATATTACCAGTGAGTGCTAATTGGTATGTAAGAATATTAGTCCAGTATGATATGCCTATGCGCACCTGGTGCAACACACACAAAAACCCTGATACTTTACTTTTACTTTACTTTTGGCTTTATGACATAGGTAAAAGAGTTTCACCCTAGAGAAGATAGGGAGTGGGCGTGGCAGAGAGGATAGACTCGCGCTGCGGATCGGAAGGTTGTGGGCTTGCTCCCTGGCAAGGCCGGACTTTTCTTAAAAAAATGACCTTGGCTCCCAGGTCGACCCAGCCTTGAGTGGGTAAAGGGTACAGTCCTGGGAAGTAGAGGCAGCCGGCATGATGCTGACCACATCACCCATCTTATGCCATTGGTCTATAAAATATAGATCTAGCCCTATATGCCCTATACGCCTAAAGGAGTGGAAAAGGATCCTTAACCTTTTTTTTTTCTTAACTAGAGGAGATAGGAGCCTCATCAAATAATCTAAATACACTGCAGCTAGTGTCCGGGAAGGGAAAGGGGGGGTGGGGGGGGGGGGGTTGGATACATTTGTATTTTTTAATTTGGGGGAGGGGTAAAATCTTGTAAGGGTAAAGATACACTTTTGTTTCACACATTTCTACAGAAGCTTTGGTCTACTCCCACAGATCATTCAAAAGTAAATCTCAGCTTAGCTTAAAAATTTTATAGAACCAGTAATGATTTAAATGTGTTTATACTAGAAACATCTTAGCTGTCCTTAGAATTCCTTGGACAGCTAAGAAGAGTAACCTGGATGTTTTGAAAAAGGCGAATGCTCGTAGACAACTTATCACAAATATCAGAAAGAGACAATCATCATTTTTTGGTCATGTTATGAGAAGAGGGAGAATGGAACATATTGTGACGGCTGGAAAGACATGTGGAAAGAGAGACAGAGGAAGACAGCGGGGGTAAGATTCTTGACAGTCTTTTGTCATGGCATGGAGGGGTGTCAGCACACGAAACTGATACACGCAGGTGCAGATCGCAGATTGTGGAGAGGCATGATCGCCTACGCCAGTCGACAAGGCACATTATGATGATGATGAAACTAGAAACATTCATTCATTGTCCTGGTGTGGCATTATTTAGCACATAGCACTCACAGTCTTAGTCTCTATTCCTTTCTATCCTGAGCAGTCACTTCAGTATCCAGTCTACCACGTTTAGCCTTTCTCATCTTTCACCTCAGGGTTTATCTTGGATGTCCTTGTTTCCTTAATCATCTGTTTCCCACTTCATGGCCTGTTGTGGTATTTTATAGCACATAGCACTCACAGTCTTAGTCTCCATTCCATTCTATCCTGACCAATCACTTCAATATCATGGATGGAATCCAGTCCAGCACCTTTAGCCTTTCTCATCGTTCACCTTAAGGTTTCTCTTGGGAGTGTTTGTTTCCTCAATCATCTATTTCCCATTTCAGCACCTGTTTGGTGATTCTCTGCTCGTCCCTTCTCTGAATATGTCCTGCATAGTACAGTCTTCTCTGCTTATAAATGTAAATACTACTGGTTGTCTAGACATTTATCTGATATCCCATTTTATTATAATAGAAATATGCATGAAATACATTTTTAAACATACTTGATATAAATCTTTTTGTGTGGGATTAGATTCTCTAATATTCAAAATTTAGCTGAGCTGGAAGCTTTTTTTCTTCCCTCTTCATTCTCCTTCTTTTACTTCTTCTCTTATTCCTCCTCATCTTCTTCTACCTTCTCTTCCTTCTTATCCTCCCCTTCCTACCAGCTTTTTCTTCTGCTCTTTTTATTTCAAGGATTTATTTCCGCGAAATTTTAGTGGTCTGGGTCTAAAATTAAAGGGCACCAAAATTTGATAAAAACATAAACAAATAAAACATAGTCCAAATAAACTCATAGTGAGATGCTCAGTATTGAATGGGTTTAAAAAAATTTGACATTAAATGAGTTAAGGAAAACTAATTTGGCATGGAATGCGTTCAGAAAAACTAACTTGTTATTGAATGGGTTAAGAAAAACTGAACTTGGTATTGAATTAATTCAGAAAAACTAACTAGGCACTAATTGCTTTAAGACAAACTTCTTCTTCTTCTTCTGCGTTCATCCAAAGATGTAATTGCGCTGTGTCCGTTTACAGCATGGCTGTGATATTTGCATCTTTCGGCCAGCACATCCGACTTCTGCGGGCGTTTGTTGAACGGGTTAGCCTTACCGGTTAGTTTCTGGGGACATGGCAGTCTCATTGTTGTGTGGTCATCTTTATTTCCCAGGTCACAGGTGGTGCCCCAATCAGGCTGGTCCAGAAAGGCCATGCAATGCTGATCAGCCCTTAAGAGAAGGCAGGGGCAGAACATGAGCATTTCCCGCCATCCGAGGAGGCTTCCACAAATGCAGAGCTAATGCATGGTGCTCTGGTTCTGGGCTCACCCAAGGAATCGTCACCTCCTGCTCATGACTGTTTAATCTCAGTTCCATATATTGAAAATCTCATACATCATAGGCTATTTGTTTTGTAGCCAACAGTATGCAGCCTGCAGACCTGGGATTTCATTTACCTACACCACAAAATGAGTGCGGCGTCCGTGGCTTAGGCGTTGCGAGTCTGACTCGTAATCCAACGTACCGCGATCGAAACCCACTGCTGGCTGCGTGAATTTTTATCACAGTATGGGGCGTCACAGGTCGACCTAGCCTAAAATGGGTACCAGGATGGCTGTCCTGAGGAAGTAAAGACAGCCGGCGTAATGCTGACCACATTACCCATCAGTGTCAGTTGGTCTGTAAAAATATGGGACACTCTTCCCATATACCCGATGCGCCTAAGGCGTGAAAAGGGATCTTTACTTTTTGTTTTTTTTACTTACAAAATGAGTACTTTGCTTCTTTTGCATGTTAGAAGACAAACTAATTTGTCACTGAGTGAGTTCAGAAAAGCTAATTCGGAACTGATTAATTAAATAAAAGCTGATTTGGCACTGAATAAGTTCAGAAAATCTAACTTGGCACTGAATGAGTTTAGAAAAACTAACTTCGTACTGAATGAGTTCAGAGAAACCAACTCGTCACTGAATGAGTTTAGAAAAACTAACTTGGCACTGAATAAGTTCAGAAAAAAAACAAGCTTGGCACTGCATGAGTTTAGAAAAACTAACTTGGCACTGAATAAGTTCAGAAAAACTAACTAGGCACTGAAGGAGTTCAGAAAAAAAAAAATAACAGATGAAACTGATTTATATCTACAAAGGGAGACTACAATATGGTCATCAATGATTATGAAAAAGCCAAGTCTTTGTTTGCCGACACGGAAATCAAGGTTTTCAAAAAAGGTAATATTACATTAAATTGTTTGAATGACAGATTGTTATTATTTTTTGACATAATATTTTTGATTTCGTAGGATATATCTTCCTCAAGTTGACATCTCATCTTTATTTAACAATTTAAAGTGGTTTAAAGCACTAAGAGAGGGGTGACTGCCTGAACAGTTTGAACGCTACGTTTCAATCAAATGACAAATTCTCAGTAAGGTTAGGTATTTTTTTTTTTCTGCCGGGGGCAAAAATGAAATTGCAACCTGCACAGCTGTGGCGTCAGTGCTAGCAGTGCAGCCCCGAATCCTGAGGCTCTAAGACTCCCACACCTACACCTCAAAAGTGGTAAATAAATCCCCTGTGTGGGTTCCGGGGCCCCATTGTGGGGAAAACAAGAATAGACCCACTGCCTCCCTAAAAGCATGTCGTAAGAGTCGACTAACTGGGGAGCTTCCTTTGAAGTCGAAGTGCATCTGCCTGAGAGGCAAGGAACCAGCAGTCTGCATTCAATAGAATCAGATCTGTAAAACTGATGCACATGCAACACCCAGGTTCTGGAGCAGGACTGCAGTCCAGAAGTGGACGAACAACCAGAACTTTACGCCAGAATGTACAGCTGGTGAACGCAAAGAAGTAGAAGAAGAAAAGTGGTAAATGTAGGCAGTAGTAGCAGTTTTCTTAAAATTATTAAATAAATTCCCAGTGTGGGTAAAGGTGAAGTCAGAAGATGTGAACCAGCATCACGCACACGGTTATAAACCATACGTGCTCTGCCACCAGTATGGACAGCTGATAAGAAACTGTCCGCCTGTGTCGCCGTCCCCAGGTAACTTCGTAGCTACAGCGGCATTCCTCCCTTTATCCCTAGAGTGTTAACTCTGGTACCCATTTCCTAAAGGCTGGGTAAACCCTGGGAACTGACAGGTTTAAAAAAAAACCACCGTGGGCTGCAGCGAGTCGCAGCTGGATTCGAAAACAAATCAGTATGGGTTCTGGGAGAGGGGGAGGGGGAAATAACCTACTGCTTCCCTAACAAGCATGTTGCAGAAGTTGACTAATCAGGGGTGTTTTCTTCAAGGTCAGAGTGTGTCTATCTGAGAAGCTCAGAACTAACAGTCTGCACACAAATAAGCCAGATCAGTAAAATGGTTGTGATCACAATGCTCAAGTTCTGGAACAAGACCAAAGTTCAGAAGTGGGCGAGCAACCAGAACTTTCTACCAGGGTTTACAGCTGGTGAACACAAAGAAGACTATGTTAAAAAGTAAAGGACTGTTGAAAGTTACTCTTACCCTCTGCTCCTTCCCTGCCGAATCAGTCTCCAAGATTAGATACTTGTCTGTTGTGTTGTCCTGTCCACTTGATCCTAGGTAGCCTTTCCCTGCCCACTCTCACCCTCTGCTAGTTCCCTGCCGAATCAGTCTCCAAGATTAGATACTTGTCTGTTGTGTTGTCCTGTCCACTTGATCCTAGGTAGCCTTTCCCTGCCCACTCTCACCCTCTGCTAGTTCCCTGCCGAATCAGTCTCCAAGATTAGATACTTGTCTGTTGTGTTGTCCTGTCCACTTGATCCTAGGTAGCCTTTCCCTGTCCACTCTTACCCTCTGCTCCTTCCCTGCCGAATCAATCTCCAAGATTAGATACTTGTCTGTTGTGTTGTCCTGTCCACTTGATCCTAGAGAGCCTTTCCCTGTCCACTCTTACCCTCTGCTCCTTCCCTGCCGAATCAATCTTCAAGATTAGATACTTGTCTGTTGTGTTATCTTGTCCCCTTGATCCTAGAAAGCCTTTCCCTGTCCACATTACCTTGATGATTGGCAGCACCCATTCTATCAACCTGTTATTTCCATGCACACCCAGAAATCCTGCGCATATAATCCATGATATGATTCTAATCAAGCAATTTATGTGCAGACTGTTACATTAGAGTCTTGTTTATTGACAGTGTACAGGGAGGTTGAACGAAGGATTAATAACTTCAGGGACATGTTGCACAAGAGACTGAAGGATCCACACAACACTTTGGACGAACAGAAGAAGCTCATCAGGTGAGGGAAAAAAAACCTAATCTTGTTTCTGCCAGTTTGTTAATGGGGCTGGCAAGGGAAATTAAAATGGGCCAAGTCTGTCAAAATTCATCGGCCTGAAAGAGTTAAGGAAGCTATTGTGGTGTTATGGCTTGACTCTTACCTGTGGATCCAAAGGTCATGGGTTCGTGTCCTGATGGAGTTGGACTTTTGAGGAAAAATTACCTTGGCTCTAGCGTTGACCCAGCCATAAATGAGTACCAGGTACAGGCATGGGAAGTAAAAGCGGCCAGTATGATGTTGACCATATCACTCATTGAGTGACGCTTTTATCTGAAAAAAAATATAGGTCTAGTCCTAAATGCTCAGTATGTCTGAAACCATGGTAAAGGGTTCTTTACCTATATATTTATATATATAAGTGCATGTTTGTGTGTGGTAGGCTGGCTGGCTGGCTGGGTGGTGTTTTTTTTTTTTTTTAATCAAGATGATGATGTCCACTCTTTTTCATCAAGTATGAGTACGAAGATGACTGATGAGGCCAGGCCCGAAAAGTTCTTGGACAGTGAGGACAGGGAATGAGTCTTGTGCCAGGGAGGAGATCTCCTACAGTCACCTTTCTGTCCATCCTTTTCTTAATCAGTCTTGCTGTTCTGTTTGCTCTGCATGTAGCCGCACCCTTGTGTAGAGTTGCAGGCCATGCATTTCGGTCTTGAGAGGCAGCCTCCCAATTAGTGTCATTCATCCCAAATGCTTTGAGTGAAGACTTTAAGGTGTCCTTTAAGCATTTCTTTTGCCCGCCTTGGGAAATATATATATATATATATATATTCAACTATGGACTTATAAAGGACTATGAATGGAAGAAAGATGATGCACGTCTATAATATGAAACAATCAGTTACACTTACATCTATGATCCTCAGATACCTGGTGAGTTTGGAGTACAAAGGTGACCCAGCATGGGAATGCTTGGATAACCAACAGAAATGGCTGATTGAGTTGTTGGATGATTGTAAAGATGACCATATTGAAGAAGGTAACAATGTCATTCTGTGACTATTTGGTTTGATGAAAATAATGTTAGCAGTAACATTTCAAAATGAACTGTACAAATTTCCAGAACTAAAAAACAGTGACATTTATTAGAATGGGTACTTCCAAATCGACTTAAAGGGATACTTAGAAATGTCCTCAGAAGTAAAGGTAGCCACTGTTATATTGGCCACATCACCCATTCAGTGGTGACTGGTCCAGTGCTTTTTTCTGGTGGTACACAATGGTACTGGCTACAGGAACCTTTTTTCTAGGCATTTCTTTTTTATGTTTTTGTTAGCACTATTTTAATAGACCCTTTGTGATAAATTCTTAAAAGTTATGTAAATCCTATATTGATATACTGATGTGAATCATGGACAGTTAGTTACTTAATAAAAACTTATTTGGAACCTGCGGAGATGTGGTTTTATAGATGAATGATGAGAATACCCTGGATGGATAAAAAGAGTAATGAAGACGTCTTGAAAGAAACTGGCTCACGAAGAGAACTGATTACCCATATCAGAAAGAGACAATCTACATTCTTTGGTCATGTGATGAGAAGGAGAAAACTGGAGTACATCGTGACGGTAGGAAAATTGGAGGGGGAGGAGAGGGAGAGGGACACCAAGAGAAAAGATGCTGGACAGTTTGACATCATGGCATAGACGATCATCTGTGTCAGAGTTGATTGCAAATACACCAGACAGAAGGTTGTGGATAGACATGACTACCAACGCCACACGGTATCTACTTGAGAAGAAGAAGATGAGTAGCAGCAACTTTTTTTCTTAGATACTTTATGGTGAGTACCGACACCTTTTTTTTTTTTTTGTAGAAACAAAAAGCCCTGGAATGGTCTAGAAAAACATGTAGCTGATGCCATATTTTTATTTACAAGCCGTTCGCCTTGAACTCTGAAGGTTGTAGGTTTCTTTGTTTACTGCATTGTTCTGTTCATGAATGCACATTTTTTAGATCTCTGTAGATCATCATTAGTCAGTGTCTGTGGCTTAGGAGTTGCGAACTCTGCTTTGTAATGTTTGGGTACCGGTTTGATCCCAGCTGCGGGCCTTGCGCCTTGCATTGTTTTTGACAGGGGTATCCAGAAGCCGACCGTCCAGAAAGCAGTGGCAAACTACTGGATGTAAACTTGCCTAGAAAAACCACAACAGCCAAAAAAATGCTGGGGTTAGTTCTGCAACGTCTTGCAAAGGATACGCAACTAACTTCAGGTCATCATTAAAACTCCTTATTGTGAAATGCTCTCAGTATATGATTTATTTTTCTGCTAAGAGAGACTAAGCACTTTAGTATACAACATGGTGCAATGAAGTTGAACCTCTCACCTTTAAAATTGTAAGTTTGTTTCTTCTTCCTTTTGCAAACCTTTAAAGGCTGTTTATTTTCTGAACCTTTATTAAATCAACAGAAAAAAATGCTCTTCATGGAGACAACCTGGCCTCATCACAGAACAGCTGTCACTGGAGGCCACTCAACAGAGTTAACAAGTCTCCAGTAAAATCAGGTGATGATAAATTATCTCCTAACTATTTCTGTCCCAAACAAAGCAGCATGTCAGAACAGTGTTGCACCCATTGCAAGTTTAAAAAGAATAGATTGAAACAATTGATTGTACAGTTTATTGCACAGCTTGTCAGAACAGTTCTCCCCCAACCCTCCCCCCATTGCAAGTTTCAACAAAGAATAGATTGCACAGTTTATTGCACAGCATGTCAGAACAGTCCTCCCCCCCCTCCCCAATTGCAAGTTTCTACAAAGAAAAGATCGAAACAATAGATTGCAAAGTTTATTGCACAGCATGTCAGAACAGAGTTTGCCCCATTGCAAGTTTTAACATAGAATAGATCAAAACAATAGATTGTACAGCATGAAGAATAGAATGCGTTCTTCCAGTTCAAAAGAATAGATAGAAACAAAAGATTGCAGAGTTTATTGCCTATCACAGGGGCATAGGAATAAAGGAAGGCCAAAAAACACATGGAGAAGAGAGCTGGAGAACGAGGTTAGAAAGATTGGGAGGACATGGGGAGAGCTCCATGCAATGGCAAAGGATAGAACGACTTGCCGTGAGTTGGTTGAGGGCCTATGCTCCATTGGGGGATAGAAAGGCAGAAGAAGAAGAAGATTGCCTATCATATTTCTCTGTCCTTGTGTGGGATCAATGAGCCCCATTTGGGACAAAAAAGAATAGACCCACTGTCTTCCTGACAAACCTCCTGTAGGAGGTGACTTATTAGGAGTGTTTCCTTAGAAACCAGAGTGTATCTGCCTGAGAGGCGAGGAATCAACAGTCTGCATGCAAATAGGCCAGATCGCATACAAAGCACAAAATTCACTAACAAAAGGAGATGAGTGACCAGAACCTTCCGCCTGAGTTTACAGCCAGTGATCGCTAAGGGAGAAGATGTAAAAATATTTCTCTGTTTCTCATCAGATGCGAGTCGCCGTGGCTGAGCGGCTAGACGCGCGCCGCGGATCAGAAGGTCGTGGGTTCGCTCCCTGGCGGAGCCTGACTTTTCTTCAAAAATGACCTTGGCTCCCTGGTCGACCCAGCCTTGAGTGGGTACCGGGTGCAGTCCCGGGAAGTAGAGGCGGCCGGCATGATGCTGACCACATCACCCATCTTGTGCCTTTGGTCTATAAAAGTATAGGTCTAGCCCTATATGCCCTATACGCCTAAAGGCATGGAAAAGGGACCTTTACTTACTTACTTTACTTCTCATCAGATGCATTCTACATAAACATTGCAAATCTTTAATATGTCAAACAGTCGCAGACTTCTACAGTTTGCTGAAGAGGTCACTATAAAGCGTTTCTGTGCAGACAAAAGACATAGTTGTGAGCCTATATTTTGCATGGTAAAACGAGCAACAGCCTTTGACTGTGATTGCATTTGTATTTCATTTCTAGGGATTTATTTGTTCGGTTTACTGCATTTATTTGTTTCTGTGGTATTCACCTAACAAAATACAGGGAATTATGCTATACAATAAATTGTGCAGTTTGTGTTTTCTTTATTTAAATGCAACATGTTTTTTTTTTTTTTTGTTATTCTTCATCTGCCTCAGTCGATGTGTCATGTCTTGGGTTTAGTCAAGTTCAATTTAAATAAAAAGTGCTTATATTTGACTTCTGTGAAAGTAAAACACTGGCGATTTTTCTGTTGTTACATTTTAGAATAAGGCTATTCAACTGATTTTACTAAGTGGCCAGAATTTTGAAAATGGATCGCCCGAGCCCAAGCATAGAAAGATCTTTAAAATAATACAGCTGGCAGTGATCTGGGAACCACTTGCTAGGCCTCCGCAGACCAAATCTGACCCTTGGGTCACCAGTTCAATAGCCCTGTCCTGTAACTTTGTTGTCCTTACAGCATATACTAAATAAAACAAATTATCTTTTTTCAAAGCATTGATGTGTTAATTAGTTGGGATATGATCTTTGCACTCTAGACATGTCCATACGCGCTCAGATCCTTCCCTTAGTATGAACCCCAGTGTCCTTTGAATAATAGTGCCAGGTCTTTGTTGACTGGTAATCTTTTTATTAGATGCCCGGTGTGTCTCTCGATTTTGGCTATGCCGATCTTAACTCTTGAGTCTTTCATTCTGGTGAGCGATGTGGAATCGCTGTCTTGAAAGTCCTCCACCCTTCCCACTTCTCTGAGGGCATTAATAATATCAGCGTGATCCATGGGTTAACTTTCAGCAGTGATAGCAGATCCAGCCCACTTATCAGCCCTTTCGTTTCCATTGCTGTCGGCGTGAATCATTGAGGTGTGTTGCTCCTATAGTCCAGCAGTGTATTTTGTTTCATGTATATGGTTTGACTTTTAATGAAACTCAGTGCATTTTTTATCTTGCTGTATTGTTGTTGCAGGTCTGTCAAGAGAATCAAGTTTTTCCTCCTTGTCTTCAACAGATCAGCACGGTAAGTAACCGTAGATCTTCAGAACTGCAGTTTAAAGTAATGTTCTCATTCACGCACAGTTGCAGTGGGGACAAACCTAGGAGAACAGATTTGTATGGAAATTATGATGAACTCTTAATACTTCCAAGTAAACTAATGTTTAGTATGTGGTTTGTCATCAAACCATAAAAAAAAAAACGTTTTTCACACCTTTGGCCATATTGGGCATATAGTGCACTAAATGGAATACATTCTACAGGGTCTTTAAAAACCAATATGCATCGGGTGACTCGTGCCGTGACCCTGTGACCTCTTTCACTGAAACTAGGAGAATATCTGACATAAACTTGGCTTTCAAAAACTATTGTCGTCATACTCAAAAGAAACCCCTACCCTTTTGCTATATTTATGTTGTCATATTTATATCCCACGCTGTTAATCGCTGTGAGGTAGCACTTTGGACCAATAGAATTTAACTGCGTTTTTTTGAAAATAGGTCACTGCAGACATGGCGATATACTCGCTTTTACAAGTGTGTCACATCCATGAGTGATTCTATTTAGTCTTCATGGAGTAACAAGTTTAAAACAACTAGACATTAGGTCACTTTGCTTGCATGTTGCTTAGACCTGTGAAGGACCCTTTTCCCACACCTTAAGGCGTATTGGGCATATAAGGCTTCACCTATATTTGTTAAACAGGCACAAACACACATCTCAATTGTAATAAGTGGTGTGTGTTTCTTCTCGTTGTCTAGGTAGTGTTCATGCGTGTGTGGTGGATGATCTCCTCACACGCTCCACGTTACACAACTGGCACAAGCCGACACCGATGTGAGCTTACGAGACATGAGTTTATTGACGTATTCACACTTACATACAAGAATGTCCTGTCGGTGTCCTAGCAAACAGCTCTCGCACACAAACTAAACGCAGCCTTCAACGAGCAGTCTTCTTCAAGCATTTACAGACCCATGGATTCACGTTGAGGTTTTGGCCATCTCACACACTGGCATGGTCGATCTCGGCTTCACACTTCGTCGGCAGGGTCTCCTTTCTTCACAAGCACTCTTACGTTGGCATTCTCACTTTCAGTCGTACGTCCTCTCGCTCCAACAGGTTGACACAAACTAAACTTGACCAGAGTCAAGTCTGACTTATACCACGGGTTCGTTTCACGTGACAACACGTGGTGGTCCTTTCCTTTCCACGTGGCGACCTTGGGTCGCATCATCGTGGTCCCCGTGATAACTAGTGGTTAGTCACCTATCTCCAGATTCTCGTTTAATCCAAGTATCTGGACTATCTCAGTGTTTTAGGTCAGCTTTGGGCCTTCCCCCCAACCATCCTAATGAGGGTGGAAATATCCCCCATTGCACGGCACTCAGTCAGCTATGTGGTCAACATCATGCCGGCCACCTTTACTTCCCAGGACTTTACTTGGTACTCATTAAGGCTGCGTCGAACTGAAAGCCATGGTCATTTAAAAAAAAAATGTCTGGCTCGTCAGGACCTGTACCCAGTTCTTTTGGATCCGCAGGTGGGCATAAGTCCCTACACTACAGCGGCTCCCTTGACCTGTAAGGGTAGGGTAAAGTAGCAATGCATGCCACAGAGGTAACTATTCAGAATTGTTAAGAGATCGGCTAACTCATCCCAGAGAATGTTTTAGCTACAGATTTCAACTGTATGTTTATTACAGCTGCTTGGAGATACCGTACACCCCAGAAGGTGTTGTTTATTGAAGATATTACAGACATCATGCTGCAGAATTTTCCAGATTACTGGAAGCTGGGCCAGAGCTATTTCACCAGAGAGGTAACGTCAACTTGCCTTGAGTTGCCAATTTTGGATTTCTTCGTCTTCTTTTCGTTTGTTTGAGTGACCTAGTTGTGTTGTGCCTGTTAGCAACAGGGAGTTCCTGTGGCGGAGCGGCTAGACGCTCACCGCGATTAGAAAGTCATGGGTTAGCTAACTGGAGGAGCCGGGCTTTTTTCAAAAATGACCTTGGCTCCCAGGTCGACCCAGCCTTGAGTGGGTACCGGGTGCGGTCCGGGGAAGTAGAGGCGGCCGGCGTGATGCTGACCACATCACCCGTCTTGTGCTGATAGTCTATAAAAATATAGGTCTAGCCCTGTATGCCCTATACGCCTAAAGGCATGGAAAAGGGTCATTTACTTAGTTACTTTACTGTTAGCAACATAGCTGCGATATTTGCACCTTTCAGCTGACACATCTGACTTCATCTAGCATTTATTTACTGGGTAAGCTTTCTCGAATAGTTCCGTGGGACATGATTAGCATTATGGGTTCTTTTCTTGTATTTCACCCCGTCTTGGTGTCTCTGAGATTTCCTGGAGGAATTCCTGTGTTGATCACATTCTGGGGAAATGAGATGTCTATGGAGGGCTGCAGGGGTGACCACAAGAGATTAAATCAGGAATGAGGTAAAAAGGGAAAAAGTCGGCACAGAGCCAATTCTGAATGACATACAAAGTCAGCCAAGCATGTGGTTTGCCCACATAGAAAGAATACTTTGTGATACCAGACCAGACAAGGCATACACCAAAAGAAGAGATGGATGAAGAGCAGGAGGGACAACAAGATGGAAAGATGACATCAGAGAAAGCTCTACATCTTCACTCATACATCACTATACTTCCCTTATACATCACTATACTTCCCTCATATATCACTATGTTTCCCTCATACATCATTTTACTTTCTTCATACATCTCTATACTTCCCTCATATATCTACAATTCCCTCATATATCACTATATTTCCCTTATACATCTTTATACTTCCTTCATATATCACTATGTTTCCCTCATACATCATTTTACTTTCTTCATACATCTCTATACTTCCCTCATATATCTACACTTCCCTCATATGTCACTATATTTCCCTTATACATCTTTATACTTCCTTCTTACATCTCTATACTTCATATCACTGTACTTCTCTCATAAATCTCTTTACTTTCCTCATGCATCACTATACTTCCCTCATTAATATTTATACTTCCCTCATTAATCTTTATGCTTCCCTCATACATAACTATACTTCCCTTATACATCTCTGTACTTCCCTCATACATAACTATACTTCCTTCATTATTCTTTATGCTTCGCACATACATAACTATACTTCCCTTATACATATTTGCCCCACATAAATACACATTTGCATGTTTGTAATCTCCATACTTCCCATTTACCTCAGTATACATCATCATTTCTCTCTGACACATCTGCTTATCTGCCTCATTATAACTTCATTTTTTCTTCTTCTTAGAAATCGGAGAAAGGGGTGAAAATTGACACCAGCAAGCATGGCAAAATGAAGGTAATAAATTTCCATTATCTTTCAGACACCAACAAACCCACTGTCTTAACTGTTTTAGTGCTAGCATATACAATTAGGTCCATTCTCTGCTGGATAGTGTTTGGTTAAAGAAATAAATGGCCAGGTCAGATTAAATTAAAATAATGTCTCTTGAAAGGGGAGAATATAAATTATCAATTAGGTTATTGTGTTTATCAACAGATCTTTGCATGACCAGTTGAGAGAATTGTATAACTTATTCTTTGTTGGTCCAGAAATGCTTAAAAAATTTGTCATAAGCCCTTAGGAATTTAAAAAAAAAAAATTATCTTTACAAAACTACCGTTTTGCACAGATCATTATTAATTAATTTAAAATATATTTATCTACGTGGAAACAATTTTTTTAAAAAATAAATAAAATATATAAACACAGTAATCAGTAAACATGAACAGTTAAAGTAAAGGTCCCTTTTCCACTCCTTCAGGCGTATAGGGCATATAGGGCTAGACCTATATTTTTTTTAGACCAGTCGTCACAAGATCGGCGATGTGGTCATCATCAAGCCAGCCGCCTTTACTTCTTAGGACTGTATCTGGTACTCACTTAAGGCTGGGTTGACCTGGGAGTCAAAGTCATTTTATTTTAGAAGTCTGGCTCCTCCAGGGAGCGAACCCACAAGCTTCCGATCCAACATGAAAAGAATGAAGCATTAAATGAAATACATTCTTTGGGGCCCAAAAACAATATTTATATAAGGTGGCGGATACATCTGACACTATAACCCCCATCTTTAAAGCTATGGAGAAAAGTTCATGGCAGCACAGCTTTAAAAAAGCCAGTTGGTTGACAAGACTTATAACTGTTGTTACCAGTTGTTTGTCCAGACATTGCTCTTATTTCTTCACCCCTCTTGAATTCATCCCAACTTATGTTCAACAATTGTTCTTAGGCATTTTTTTTTAAAAATGCATACTACTTTTATTCCACATATACCTTAAAAATAGTGGAAATATTATGGTGTGTAAGGGATGCCTGTATGATATTGACCTTATATGCGCCAGTTGTTCTTATTATAAAGGGGCTTTGTATGTCTCCAGTCATAAAAAACATTCATACCCAAGTCACAGGAAGCATAGCCAGGAAGATGGACACACAAAACGCAAAACTAGTAACGAGAGAGAGAGGCCAGACATGTTTAAAAATGACAGTATCACTCACAGTTAGGGACAGTATGCCACACCTACTGCCACAACAAGCCATTTAAGCCATTGAACATGATGCAGATAAAACCAGACCATAATTTTAATCAAAACTATCTTCAGCAGGGTTAAACAGGGTCAAATTGTAGCCCCCCCCCCCCCCCCCCCAATAAAATCAGCATCAACAATTATATATTAAGTATTCCTCAGTGTGTAGAAAAAGTTCCCTTTCCTTTAACTTCAAACCTTTATATCTTTTGTATAATCTTCTTCTCTTCCTCTTTTGCGGCTTCAGGTGTCACAGAAATATTAACTTCTGTTTCCTGCTCGACCATAGACCCACCATATTGTGGAGTTTCTCTGATGTTATCCTTTCATCTTGTTCTTGGTCTCTACGTTATGCTCTACACCCTTCTCCTCCTCTTTGGTATATATATATGCCTTGCATGATTTACTTCTTCTTCGCATTCACCAGCTGTACACTCTGGTGAAAAGTTCTGGTTGCTCGTCCACTACTGAACTGCAGTCCTGCTCCAGAACCTGAGTGTTGCATGTGCATCAGTTTTACAGATCTCATTCGCTTAAATACAGACTGTTGGTTCCTTGCCTCTCCAGCAGATGCATGATTTAGTGTCACTTTTATGCAGTAATGATACTTGATGTGTGTAATAAATTTTTTAAATTTTTTTCACTCATTAGCAAATGATGGCAGAAGTAATCACCTTGTTTGCCAATTATGTAAGGGCGGCCTTTCTGCCTGATTCCCTGGAAAATTTACCTGAAGCTGACAGGGAGAAACTGGGGATTTGGCCAACAACCGGCAAACAGGACCATATTTCTTGTTCTTGGCTTCCCACATATGTGAGAAATATTAGGTAGGTTAAACATTTCTTCTCCAACTAGCTTGTTTTTATTAGTGTACGGGAAAGCCCATACACCTAAAAATTGCCAGGACTAAGATGAAAAAGAACTGTCAATTGCACTCGTAAGGCAGCGTTTCCTAAACTGTTATGAGTCGCTGCGCCTTAAAATGTTTCCACGGCGCCCTAACCTAAGTAAAAGTATGACTATTCGTATGTAAGAGATCGAAACAAATAAATCTAGTGTATTTTAGAATATTTCGCGGCACCCCCTGAAGAGGTCGAGGCTCCTCGGGGCACTGCGGCAGACAGTTTGGAAATCACTGCTCCAAGTTATTCATTTTAGCAGTTTGAAGTTTCACTCACTAAATTACAAAGATTTTGAATGTCAAAATTATGTTCCTTTCAGTTTCTATGCATTTATTTTTTTTTTTTTTTAAATAGTATATTTACAACAGCAAAAATTGTTGAGATACTTTTTAGGTTAAAAAAAAAAATCAATATTTTGGTGTGGTCATTTCGGTGTCTTAATGAACTTATGATGATGTCACTTTGCTTTTTATGACTGGTCTAGCCTTATATGCCCAATATGCCTGAAGGCGTGGAAGAGGGTCCTGTACTCTTGGAGACAGATGACAACCGTAAACTGATTACTGAACTTAGACGTAGACAGTTGATATTTTTTATTGTTTTATATGGCAGGGGCATATTGAGAGAGTGTCAGATGACAGAGAGTTTAAAAACTGTATACACAAGGGAGCTGAGTGGTTGGAGACCATGAGGCAGGCCAAGAAGACGATGGAGAGATAATGTCCAGACAGACCTGCAAACACTTCGGTGTCACCAACTGGAAGGAGAAGGCTAACCAGAGAGATATGTGGTGGCAGGTGACATCTGGAGCAATGAACCTCAAAGGCTCAGAATGCTGAAAAAGAAGAAGTCAATATTTTTTTAACATGTTGTGAGAAGGAATTGGATCATGAACTTGGTGACAACTGGCAGCATAAATGGAAAAAAAAGTGAAGGGGAAGGTGAAAAGATAAATGTCTGAATGCTTGGTCATATGGATGGTCTAAAACAAGAGCACTGACATGATCCAGAACCTATGGCATAACATGACCACCTGTGTTTATCAGCAGGGCACATGATGGTAAGATATTGTTAAAAATGAACTTATTACCTGTTTGTGTAACCTAGCCATGTCTTTGATTAATTACAGAAACTGTGCTAATACACTGTCAGCACTAGACCCACATGGTGATACATTTATAGTTCTTAATGAGTTGGCATTTGACATGAGAACAAACTGTATGTTTACACTGCTCAAACAGGCAATTTCAGGTAGGTAGAACATTTTAGTTATCATAATTGGTTATGTGTTGGGTAGAACATTGACATTTTCAAAATTGCTTGCGTAGATAACACATTTTAGTTATCAGAATTTGTTGGGGGTATGTTTGATGTCATTTGATTCACAAGTGAAGTGTTTTATGTTAAAGTTAAAGTCGCGAATATCAACCTAATTGCAGCAGGTTTTATCCCATGTGGCTTGGTCTATCTCCACAGAACGGCTAGCTGCCTGCTGAGAGCGCAGTGCAGAGCACGAACTCCATAGCTCTAGTGACAATCCCTGCAGATCCCTGTAAAAATTGCACTCGTGAACTGAAGGGTGCAGTCCTGATTGCTGTGAACTTTATTTTAATTTTATCAGTCACTAAATTAATGGAAACTTTAACTAAATAGATGTTAACTTTTTTTAAATTTTTTTTTATTAACCACAATGGTGGTGGAAACTAATTAAACTGATTTTAACTCTATTTCATTAGTCACAAAGTGATTTAAACTTTAATCAATGTTAGCTTGATTTTATTGGTTAAAAAAATTTGTGGAAACTAATGAATGTGATACTAACTTGATTTTTTTTTAGTTGCTAAGATGAAGGAAACTTTAATGAAATTAATAACATGATTGTTATTAGTCACCAAGGTGTTGGCTGTTTTAATAAAATTCATGTTAACTTAATTTTATTAGCCACTGACATGATGGAGATTTCCATAAAATTGATGTTAATCTTTTATCTGTAGACGTGAAGTGCTTGCATACAAAGGAGACCTGGGTAGTTGAAACTGATGATGAATATGGCGGCACGACTCAACTGGTATGTCTTTCCTACTTTACAGTGTTTAATTATAGCTCTGAGACTTCAGTTTCATTAAACATTTATTTATAAATACATGCTGTTTAGGTAAGAGGGTGATGCTTTGTTCCAAATGTATCAGTGTTAGCTTTCCTTTGAAATAAACAATGCAGACTGAGAGTGGGATAATGCTGCTTTGGCAGCACATGGTCTCCATAAATGCTGTCTGTGCTATAAAAGGAAGGAACTTCATACCTGGCTTTAATTGGCTTTGATTCTCATGTCTGTTTATAGTATTACCATTATCAGCTAGAAAGAGGGAGAGATGCCAAAGAAAAATAGCTTCTACATAGGTCACCAAAGAAAAATAGCTTCTACATAGGTCACCAAAGAAAAATAGCTTTTACGTGTGTCACCAAAGAAAAATAGCTTTTACATAGGTCACCAAAGGAAAATAGCTTCTACGTAGGTCACTAAAGGAAAATAGCTTCTAGGTAGGTCACCAAAGAAAAATAGCTTTTACATAGGTCGCCAAAGGAAAATAGCTTTTACGTAGGTTACCAAAGGAAAATAGCTTCTACGTAGGTCACCTCTCCTTCCTGAGTTCATACTGAGGGAAGGATAGGGTTCCTTCTTTTGTTTCACCTAGAAACAAAGGATTTTTTTGTCAAACCAGGGTCAAGGACCTGCCCTTTTGGCACCTTTCTGTCTCACCAGATGGTAGTGTTACATTAGGCTATAGAGAAGCATAGCAGAATTGTTAGAAGATAGTAACATGTTAAGAATTTGATTACTTATACATTTTCTTCTTCTTCTTGTGATTGCTTTCTGTCGTGTTTGGGTTCTGGTGCCCCATTATGGTGAAAAGAAACAGGATATACCATTGCCTGGGCAATAAGCATGTTGTGGGTGTCGACTGTTTGGGGGCATCCATCAAAGTTGGAGTACATCTACATCAGAGGCAAGGAACAAATAGTCTGCACACAGATAAGCCAGATCTGTGAAATGAATGTGTTCACAATACTCAGATTCTGAAACAAGACTAAAGTTCAGAAGTGGACAAACACCCAGAACTTTCCACTGGAGCTACAGTAGGTTAACATAAAAAAGAAGAAGAAATAGATTGCTCTTTGATTTACATCAGCAAATGAATTTTTTCGATACAATTTTTTTTTAGTTTCCTTCTAGTACCTTCTAGTTTCTTCTATTTTCTTCTAGTTCCTTCTAGTTTTGAGTATGGTGTTCACTCATTGGGTCAATATTCCCTTCTTAATGGACCCTACAAGGGACATTCTTGCAAGGCATGTTCTGCTGTTTGCACACACACAGCCCACATGGGCACAATGCTGAACTACTTAGACAGAGTCTGTGCGTATGTTTGTTAAGTTTGTTATGCCCTGTCCGGTGGCGTAGAATGATGACCTATCCATGCTGGTCAAGTAAGTGGTAGTCATCTCTGGCCAGATTCTCTTAACTTCTGGTGGACGTGATAACTTTTTTTCCCCCCCTCAAAGTATGTTATTGCATTGTTTTCCTGTTCACATTATCATTTATACATCATACAGTGCTTGTCCCCCACCCAATGGTCTTTGATATGAATTCCCAGCAAGACAGATTTTTCAAATTTATCTGGGCTCCCAGCTTAACTCTTTTAGTCTCAAGGAACTATCGTGAGTTCATAGGTTCCTACCTAGAAGCCCAATCGACTTACGATGCTAAATACCCTGGGACTGAAAGAGTTAAATGGGTTGCAGGAAATGTCCTGGACAGTAAAGACAACCAGACCACATCACACACAGTGTCAGTTGGCCTATAAGGCATTAGCACCAAAATGCATGGAAATGAAACATTACTTCAAATCCTGCAGTTCCCCATTTTGTTTCCAGAGCCTTATTTATTTATTTGGGGCCCCCACCTCACCCCAACAAGCATGTCGTACAATGTGGCTAATTAGGGATGTTTCCTTCGAAGTCAGAGTGCATCTGCCTGAGAGGCAAGGAACTGACAGTCTGTATGCAAATAAGCCTTATCTGTGAAAAGGATATGCCTGCAAAACTCAAATTCTGGAACAGAACAGGACTATAGTCCAGAAGTGAATGAGCAACCATAACTTTCTGCCAGAGTTTACAGCCAGTAAAGGTGAATAATAATAAGAAATCAGATACAGTTAACAAACAGTTGAGTTACAAGGCAACTGATTCACATTAAACACATATTTCAGCCTGCTCTGTTTGAAAACATTGTCAATGAGACCATTCAGCATCTACATGAGGTTGTCATCATGAACAAACCCTCAGAACCAGAGGTGAGAAGATTTTCTTTTAACTCCTTGCACCCTTTAACTAATCTTATAACTGTGCATTTATTTCATCATTAAACTCAAGTTCTGGAACAAGATGAAAATCAGGAAGTGGATAAACAACCAGAAGTTTTTGCTGGAGTTTGCAGATGGTGAATGCTAAAATGAAGAAGTGCGTTTTGGTGCTTCATTAATATCCTACCCCAAACAGGGGAAATCCACAGGACAATCTAATATTTCAGGGGGTGGTAGATAGGCTGCATGCAGTCGTGGGACCTAGGCTGCATGCAGTCGTGAGACCTAGGCTGCACTCTGTCGTGGGATGTAGGTGGGTTGGGGTTAGGGCTAGTTCTAGATGTTTTGGGTCGTTAAAAGCATCAGAAAGCCGAGAAACCCAGTCTTACCACCCTCTAGAAATGTTGGACTGTCCTGAGGCGTCATCTGGGGTAGGATATTAATAAAGCACCGCCTTTTCTACATTTCAGCTGATAAGACTCCCCAGTGCCCTCTTCTTCTTCTTCCTTTTTTCTCAACTCCTGGAATTTCTCGCGGCTTCAGGGCAGGAAGAGATCTCTGGAACAGGCCCTTTTGTTCGCTTCGAATACAGTACTTTTCAGTGACTGATATTTCTGCAGTCCATATTGTGTGTGGTTGACCTCTAGCTCTGCTACCGCTGTATCTGTATACCATTGCTCTCTGTGGTGCCCTGCAGCTTTCCGCTGGTTAGTGAATTTGACACACCCACACATCGTGATTGTAACTGACTCAGAAAGGATGCTGAGGAAGGTCAGGACAGGCATGCTTCATGCAGAGTGGCATGCTTCACTGCGGAGGACACGAAAGAGTATTTTCTTGATTTTTTTATCCAGCAGATGCTGGTGTGTTGGGAATGAACAGGCAGACAGACTGGCTGGCTCTGCACAACTTGGTTTAATACCAATGATAATAATGATGAGGCAGACGTAGTTAGTGACTTGTGGGAGAGCATGTACAGTTCGGAGGAGCAGATGGATCACCACTGTCTGGTGAGATTGATGCTGTGGGGTGTGACCAGGGGGTTCTGACAGATGCTCTAGGCTCAAAGGAAAGAAAAGACAGACGTATAATCAGAGTGCTACTGACACCATTAGTACGAGATATTGCTAAAACAGCAATACAGTCGATCTCCTCCTACACTGGTATGCATACAGGATGTTGCTCTGAAAGACTTCTCCTGTCATACTATGTCCAGTGGTGGACAACCAGTACCCGATCGCACAAATCCACTTTTGTAATTAACGTGCCTGTCATTCCAACAACTCCTTTATGTTAAGGCCACTGTTGCTAGAGACCATCCAGATGGATGCACATCTTTGTGAAAACTATCCAGACCTCTTGTCTGCAGCCTGTCACGTTACCTTGGGGATCCCTCGCGCTGGAAACCTGTTACTGCGGCATCACCCGCCAGCAACATGAACACTGTTTTCCGTTACCTAGCGTGACACATAGTGCACAGGTCTAGCCTGGCAAGTACACTGCCAGACTAAAATGCATGTTAGAACAATACACATTATACATAATGTCCTCTCCTCTCCCAAACATGCACACTCGTGGAGCCATACAGTCTACTCTCCTTACATACCATACATACATTCAATCTTGTACTGCACCGCACCAAGTTTTACATTCTTTAATGAACTTTACTTTCACATACCCATATATTTCACACAACAACCTAACAGTAGCCAGTGTGTTGGGAAATGAGCAGGCAGATAGACTGGCTGGCTCTGCACCACTTGGTGGTGAATTGATGTATGACAAGTTAGATATTGTTAGGGCCCTTTAGGAATGAGTGAACAGTGAGGAAGCCCAGACAGATCATTACAGTCTAAGGAGAATGGCGCTGCGAGGAATTACCAGGGGATCTGGCTGAGGCTTGACACTCTGGGGAAGGATGAGAGGGATATGCAATCAGACGGTTACTGGTACGATAAGAATTGGAACTTTTCTCTTGCTGCTGAAGATGGGGACTTGGCACTTATGGGAGTGTCCTGAGTGTTGTGATGACAGTTCTTAATTCAACATTCATTCATTCATTTTCTTAGAATGTTAGTATTCTTCTTTGCCACGTGTAACTTTTGAATGCCCAGATTTTCAGTCAGCGACCTATTCAGAAGGAGGCCACAGCATTGTGTAGTCAGCTTCTGCAAGCGTTCTCAGTTTGTATGGAACAGCTGGTCTTTAGTCCTCCCTTGAATAAAACAGAATCTAAACCGTAAGTTTGCAGTATTTTTTTTTTTTACAACTGGTCAGATGTTGCTGGAGTTTCTTCTTCTCCTCCACCTCCTCCTTCTTCTCTTTCTTCTTCTTCTTCTTCTTTTTCTTCTTCTTCTTTTTCTTCTTCTTCATCTTCTTCTTCGCCCTCCTCCGCCTCTTCTTCTTTTTCTTCTTCTGCTCTTTCTTCTTCTTCTTTTTCTTCTTCTTCATCTTCTTCTTCGCCCTCCTCCGCCTCTTCTTCTTTTTCTTCTTCTGCTCTTTCTTCTTCTTCTTGTCATTCTTCACTATCACTGCCAAACAGATTATGAATTTCATTGTTGCTTCTCATTCTCCATTCCTTGTTGTTTTCATCTTTAATGGGTCCAAAGATTCATTGTGAGACAGTTTTTCTTCTCCTTCATCTTTGCATAAACACTGGCTGTAAACTCTGACAGAAAGTTCTAATTGCTCATCCCTTGTGAACTTTAGTCTTATTGAGTTTTGTATACACATCTGTTCTACAGATTTGACTTATTTGTAAGCAGACTGTTGGTTCCTCACCTCTCAGATAGGTGTACTCCACCTTCAAAGGAAACACCCCTAAATAGTAGACTTTCATGACGTGCTTGTTAGAGGAGCAGTAGATCTGTTGTTTTCCCCAGAATGGTACCACAGAACCCACACAGGTAGACTGCTTTGAGTCGTGGCAAAGTTTTTGCCTCTGCCAGATGGTGGCCGTTGTATTTTTGCTCCATTTGTAGACTGCAGTCTGTCAATTTTTCTACAAGGGACAGTGATTAACATTCTGTGTGTTTTTCGTTGACACAGGAGCAGAGCAACTATGGGGTAACCCGTTTGCTATAGGTCTTATCAGCATTTGATTTATTGTGATCTTTATGTCACAAGGTAGAGAATTTGATTTTAACAGATGTTGTGGGGCATAGTATACTTTATTTACAGACCTATATTCTAGATTGTTGTTCTTCATTAAGTATGTTGAGCAGTTGAATTTTGAACCCAAGTGTGTGCGTTTTTCCATAATATTATACAGTTGTAGTATTTTAATTGTCTGACATTGATCTTATTCAGTAATGTTTTTATCAGAACCATTTAAAAAAAAAAAAATCCATTATTTGTTTTCTTCTCCTGCTATTACATGATTGTTTTTGTGTGTGTATGTGTGTGAATAAACTCTGTATTGTCTGTAAATTGTTTATTCAGAGAGTCTATCTTATGAATGTTATGTTCATTATTGATGTCATTAAGTGTGTTTCTGTTGTTGTTGAAACAGGATCAAGATTACACTTGGGCAAGAGGTGGACTTGGAACAGATTGAAGATCCTATTCCATCAATGGTATTTACCTTAACTTTAATTCTAGTTTTTGTATTGTTAATCATGGAATGATAAAAAAAAAAAAAATGTGGCGGCCCTTCTCCAGGCAGATGATGCAGACGGTAAACTTATTAGGGTAATTAGATATTGATCGCACAGGTATAAGACCAAAGTCCAGACATGGATGAACAACCAGGAGTTTCCACCAGAGTTTACAGCTGGTGAAAACAGTAGAAAAAAAAGAAGAATGATAAAGTAGAAATTAACTTCATAAATGTGTTTAATAAAAGGATGAAGTGGTAATTAGTTACAGAAATGTATTTTATGAAAGAATAGAGTGGTAATTAATTGCCAAAATTTATTTAATGAAAGGTTTCAGAAGTAATTAATTGCAGTAATGTATTTAATGGAAGGATAAAGAGATAATTATTGCAATAATGTATTTAATAAAAGTTTAAAGGGATAATTAACTGCAGTAATGTATTTGATGAAATGATAATATGGTAATTCATTGCAGAAATATATTTAATTATCTTATGAAATAATATGCTGATCTCATGCCTTAAACATCTCTCTTAGAGTTCTTTACTATTTCTTTGTGTTTTTGCTTCTCTTTATGTATGTTTTTAAATCATATGAGCTCCAAAAGAAGGACAATCTAGTTATATTGTCTACAGGTTTTCTTAGTATTTTTCCAGTCTAGTTCTCACAGCTCCTGATTCTGTGGAATTTCTCTAGTTCCTTGTAATTCCGCATTGGGGACTGTAATGTGCAATTTTAACTCTTTAACATACCTTGGACCATAAGGCTGTCAACTAACCCACACCAGGTCATCCTCTTTTTTTGCTGTCACATATGACACCCTATGTCAGCTCCACATCGATGACTCTGTAACATACAGCACTAGTTATTTACCATGGCTTGGACCATTAGGCGGTCAACTAACCCACGCCAGGTTATCCTATTTTTTACTGTTACGCCCAACACCCTATCTCCACCGTATCTTTTTAACTTCCCTGTCTCGCTCCCTTCTCTGTGTGCTTTTTCCTTCTTTTTCAGCATTCTGAGCCCTACAGGTTCATTGCTGCAGATATCACCCACCTCCATTCATCTCTCTGTTGGCCTTCTCTTTCTAGTTGGTATAAGCAAGTATTTGCAAATCTGTCTGGACATTATCTCTCCATCATCTTCTTGGTCTGCCTCATGGTCTCTGACCATTCATCTCCCTTGTGTGTACAGTTTTTAACCTCTCTGTCATCTTAACTTCTCTCAGTATACCCCAGCCATTTCAACCTCTCATGGTGCCAGTGATCAATGGTGATTTAAACAGATCATGAATTTCATTGTTGCTTTTCACTCTCCATTCCCTGCTGTTTACATCTGTGATAGACAGCTTTTTGGTGTGCCTATATTTCTGTTACCCTGTGGTTTGTAGGTAAGAACATTCTAGTTATATTTTTCTTAGTGTATGTCATATCCGTTGCCTGAATGAAATATAAACAGTTCTTTTATATTCCTGTAGGACAAGAGATTGATCATCATGCTGAGCAACTGCTCCCACACCCTGGAGGTTGTTGTGCCAAGGATCATTGAGAACTTGACCAAACATGGCTATGTGGAGATGGAGAAGGCCTTAAAGGTATCCATAAATCATTGTGAAAAAGTACGGGATGCAGAGGTGCACCAATTACTGTGTATATTCTACTGCTGTAGTAGCTGCTACTGTCATTTCTCAGTTGAAGAATACAGGGCGGAATAATCAGTAAGAGAAACATATAGACAAATCAGAGCCAGATGGTACTATTCATTCTACCACTTGTAGTATTTTATATACTATATGCATTTGGGACATACACAGTAAGTAAACAAGCTGAAAAACATTTACTCGTCATAGAGGTGTGGTTTTTTAGAAAAATACAAAGAATATCATAGAATTAAAAACGAACACATTAGGTATTCCTCCTCAAGACGGATGAAAACCATGAATTAATTAGAAAATTCCCCTGAAGTCGGAATACATTTGCCGGTGAGGCAGGGAACAGCTAACAAATAAGCCAGTAAAACGGATGTACATGCAAAACTCAGGTCCAGATAAAATCCAAAAGTCCAAGTGCACAAACTACTGGGACCTTCCCCCAGAATTCACATCCGGTGAACGAGAAGAGAGGAGCAGATTAGAAAAATTAGATGTAGTCAATGAATGTTTTTTGTGGTTTTTTTTTAACATGTGCACGAGGAAATAGATTTGAGAAATGACTGACAAGATTTATAGAAAAAGGGCAAAGAGAAGGCAAGAAGATACATACCCGGATAACTTAGCCACATGGGTGGGAGGGTGGGGTGGGGGGGGGGGGTCACAGACCTGATCCATGATTCTGGTGATCATATGAGATGAGTAAATGTGATAGTCTATGCCAGGGCTTTTCAACTAAGTTTATTAATCAGGGGCCCAAATTTTGAAACTGATGATCATCACAGGCCTGAGCCCAAGTTTAGAAAGATCTTTAATGCGGTACAACTGGCATAATTTGCCACTTGCTAGGCCTCCGTGAGCCAGATTTGGCCTATCAGCCGTCCATTGAATAGCCCTGGTATATACTTATCAGCACAGTCGATGATGATGATGATTGTGACGTGCGAAGGCTTCATTGGAACGTGCGCAACTTCATTGTGACTAGGGGCGTCGCAATGTAACAAAAGGGCATCAACACTTAACATGCCACTGGCCACGTGTAACATAACATGATGAATGTTGGAACTTCCAAACGTAGCGAAACGAGAACTCTCTTTAAAAGTTCCATTTTTGTATTGACAAATAGCAATGATCAACGCAAGGAGAAAATATTCATACTCATTCAAGCACATCAACAAAAGCTTGCTCGTACATCCATGGACTGATATGTCCTCACGATAGGTCGCAGTCCGACCTTGAGATCCAGACAGTCATTTCTGTCTTCAGTTCCGTAGTCTGAATAAAGTAATGTAAGTCTACCGGCTTACTGCCGAACTGTGACTATTCACCTAAACATCAACTGCAAAGTATACCGGCTTACTGCCGAACTGTGGGTAAAACGTCCTCAAGGATCCAACTTTATACAACGTTTGCTTCCGTGGGATCCCGGGGTAAAGCGTCCTCAAGGATCCACACGTCCGTCTCCTTCCGACTATCAACATCAACTGCCTTTGACAACAATACCTTCACAACGTTACGTATTGATTTTGACGTCTTATTTGCTCACTCAGTACTGGTACGTTCTGGTGCACATCCGCACGCGACAATGATGATGATGAGTTTTAACATGTTGGTATAAAATCTTATTTCCATAGGCTGCACAAGATACCTACAGAGATCTAGACCAGCGTCTTTTCACCAGCTACATAGAACAAAAGTCAGACCCCATTATCGGTGCCATGGAGCCTAACATGTATCGAGGAGGCTTTAACTGGAAAACGTGGAAAAATCCTGTTGGTGTCCGCAACTATCTGAAGGAAATTATTATGAGTATCATTGAAGTTCATGCAGAGGTGAGTTGTTTATCTCCTCTAAAAAAGAAAAAGAGGGTAAAGTCGAGAGATGTGGACCAGCGATATTGCACACGGTTATAAACCATAAGTGCTCTGCCACCAGTACGGACAGCTAATAAGAAACTGCCTGTGTCGCCCCTCTCATGCAACTCCGAAGCTACAGCGATGTTCCTCCATTTAACCCGGAGTGTCAAATCTGGTACCCATTTCCTAGAGGCTGGGTAAACTCCAGGAACCACCCGGTTTCAAAAACCGTCCGTAAGCTGCAGCGAGTCGCAGCTGGATTTGAAAGTGAGATGTAGGAGACCTGGTGTTAAAAGCCAGATACTTGATCTGACCCCAGTGTGACTTTGTAGCTTATATTTCACAGAGTGTTGGTCAGTAGTAGGGGGCTGTTTATGTATTTTTGTGGGTATTTTTCTAAAGCAACAACACTTTTGTTTGCTTCCCCATAGGTCAGCCTGGCTTACACAACAATATTTGAGACTATAGTATGTGACCCCGGAAGTGGGTACATAGCGAATGAGTCTGTTAATAAGCTATAGGTGATCCCAGATATAGGCACATAGCCAGTTGAGTCTGTTATGAGCTTTAGGTGACCCCTGGAGTGGGCAGATAGCCTAATGCATATAATAGACTATAATTGACCTCAGAAGCTGGCACATAGCCCAGTGTATCTGTTAGAGCTGTAGGTGATCCCAGGAGTGGGGACATAGCCCAATGCATCTGTTACAGGCTGTAGGTGACCACAGGAGTGGGCATATAGCCTAATGCATCTGTTATAGGCTTTAGATGATCCTAGGAGTGGGGACATAGCCCAGTTGCATCTATTATAGACTATAATTGGCCTCAGAAGTGCCCAGTGTACCTGTTACAGCTGTAGGTGATCCCAGGAATAGGCAGATAGCTGAATGCTTCTGTATTTGGTTGTGGCTGTAGGTGAGCCTAGGAGTGGGCACATAGTCAAATACAACTGTTATAGGCTGTCAGATTCAGTGTCAAATAGTCAAATACAACTGTTATAGGCTGTTAGATTCAATGTCAAATAGTCAAATACAACTGTTATTGGCTGTCAGATTCAGTGTCAAATAGTCAAATACAACTGTTATAGGCTGTCAGATTCAGTGTCAAATAGTCAAATACAACTGTTATAGGCTGTCAGATTCAGTGTCAAATAGTCAAATACAACTGTTATAGGCTGTCAGATTCAGTGTCAAATAGTCAAATACAACTGTTATAGGCTGTCAGATTCAGTGTCAAATAGTCAAATACAACTGTTATAGGCTGTCAGATTCAGTGTCAAATAGTCAAATACAACTGTTATTGGCTGTCAGATTCAGTGTCAAATAGTCAAATACAACTCTTATAGGCTGTCAGATTCAGTGTCAAATAGTCAAATACAACTGTTATAGGCTGTCAGATTCAGTGTCAGAAACAGAAATAAATAATAGGAGAAAATATGAACATGAAAGATTATATTATGGAACAAAACAATTAAAAATACAATTAAGCTGAATGTTGATCCCTGCAGTACTTAGAACATATCATCATTATCATCATGTAGCAGGTCCTTTGCAGGACGTCACTCTTATCACGGTCTGTCTGAAATAAACTCGGTCTCTCGCCAGTTCTCCCGCCTCATGTACTTTCATACTCAAGGAATCACTTATATCCTGTGCCTATCTTCGTGTTGGTCGGCCCCTGCCCCTCCTTCCTGGAAGCATACCCTCCGCTATAATTTTTTCCAATCTGTCGTGGCGCCTGAAATGAACAAAATATTTTGGCTTTCGAGACAGGATGCTGTTTATTAGCCAATCTTCCTTGACGTTCAGATCTTAGAACATCTAAGATATGATTTTTCATGAAAAGGTCACTGATTTGATGGCTTTATCAAGAACCTGTGGTAGTAGACTGGCAAATAGTAATGTATCTGTGACGCTAACATGATTGCATGAAGTGAAGCACGTCGATGCTGTTTTATGTCAAGATAAGAGACATTGCAACCGATTTCTCATGGGAACAGTCAGTAAGGTTACTTGTTACTTTGTGATAGCTGCTGCATCAGAAGATGGAGCAAGCACAAGAATGCTAAATTTTGTAGTGACGTTGATCATTATAACGTAACATATAGCAGTTTCTGAGATGTCATCAATTTTGCTAAAATCTCATCTTACAGTCATATCAAGTTAGGGAGTTTAAATATCTAGGAAGTATGATCACAGAAGATGGTAGAATTGACAGAGAAATAGAAACCAGATGTCAGAAAGCAAGTGCACTTATATACCAGTTGTCACCATTATTAAGACATCCAAGCATAACTATGAGTGCAAAGAGACAGATTATTAATAGCAAATTCATTCCAACATTAAGCTACCAGTGCCAAACATGGACACTATCTAAAGCCCATATATGCAAAATCACCACCTGCAAGATGAGGTTTCTGAGAAAAGCAGCCAACCTAACCATCCGAGATCGAGTGAATAATGAAACTATCAGGCAAATTGTGGGAAGGACACCTTGTACTAGATTCATCGAGAAACAGCAGATCAAGTGGTTTGGCCATCTCGTTAGAATGCTGCAAGATCAAATACCATCACAAGCACTACATCTCAGAAGATCAGCTACAAGAGCAAGAGGACGGTCGCGAAAAACATGGATCGACAACATTAAAGACACTCTACGCCTTCACAGCATGACAATAGCCAGTGGCAGCCACAGTGCACTGGATCGTAAATTATTCCTCCCCACGACACTTAACGTCAGAAGTGGTTTATGATGATGATGATGACAGTCATATTAATTATATCTAAGACTGGATAAAAGAGATATTTTAAAGACCATACATGAACAAGTTTTGACAGAGGAAATGAGATTAGACAAAATAACATGTGTAAGAATGCCTGAACAAGGAATTAGGAGTGGGTTTGGCAAGGAGGTACGTTTGAGAGGAAGAGAACGACGTGTATAATCAGTATGCTGCGGAAACAGTTAGCCTCTACACCTTAAGACATTTGCTGCGGGAGACGGAGCACCTATGGGTATGCTAGGTGTGCGATGATGTTGATTCCTAAATCAGTAATCAGTTGATTATACCTGTTACTATAAAGTATTTTTGTGTGAGCTTGTTTGAAACTGTCCGTCCTATGTCAGGTGTACAGCATATCACCCAAGTTTGTGATGCGTGTCATGAGAAAAATCATCGAGGCTGTGTGTGAAGAACTGTCCCGACTTGTTCAGTGTGTACACGATTTCAACGCTGGTGGTGCTATCCAGGTAAGGCTAACAGCATTTCTCTCTTTTCCTTCCTGTACCTAGCTGACTCACTTTGGTGAAGATAAAAATGATCTTTTTTTTCTTCTTCTCCTCCTCCACCTTCTTCTTTTTCTTCTTCTTCTTCTTCTTCAGCACTCTACGCCCTTGAGGCTCGTTGCTGTAGATTTTACCTGCCTCTATTCATCTCTGTTTTAGGGATCTCCGTGGTGAAGTGGTCAAGCTGTTTGCCTCGTGCTCTGAAGGTCTGGTTTCATTTCATGGCTGCACCATTCACTTCACAAGTGCAGTTTTCACAGAGAATCTTGGGGATCACCTCAGAGCTACAGGGTTCGTGCTCTCTGTGACGCTTTTGGCAGGCAGCTGCTCATTCTGCAGTGACCGAGCCATATGGGATAAAACCTGATGCAAAGAAGCGGATCCTCTTGACTTTAACCTATCAACCTTATCTCTATGAATGGCCTCCTCTTTCCACTTGATGACACCAAGTATTTGAAGATTGCCTGAATATAATCTCTCCACCATCTTTTTGATCTGCTTCAGGATCTGCTGTCACGTGGTTCTTTTCAATATGCAGTTTCTCTCTCTATTATCTATCATCCTGTCTGTATGCCCTAGCTTCACAAATTGTCACTCTTTTTATGGCCTGCAAATTCTCCAGCCTTATGTGCTTTCATAACCAATGCATCTTCAGTGTCTTATATCCATATTCGTAGGGTTGGCCTCTGCCTCATTTATCAGAAACTGTACCCCAATCACTGTGATGTTTAACATGGCTTAAATATCTCAGCTTTCAGGACAAGATACTGTTTATGAGCCAATTCTCCTCAATATTCAGATCGCACTGGTTTTTCTTTCTTTCTTGTTCATGATCACAACATTTTGGGAAGATAAATTATCACAACATTTGGGGAAGATACATGATCACAACATTTTGGGAAGATACATGATCACAACATTCGGGGAAGATACATGATCACAACATTTTGGGAAGATACATGATCACAACATTCGGGGAAGATACATGATCACAACATTCGGGGAAGATACATGATCACAACATTTGGGGAAGATACATGATCACAACATTTTGGGAAGATACATGATCACAACATTCGGGGAAGATACATGATCACAACATTTTGGGAAGATAAATTATCACAACATTCAGGGAAGAGATACATGATCACAACATTCGGGGAAGATACATGATCACAACATTTTGGGAAGATACATGATCACAACATTTTGGGAAGATACATGATCACAACATTTTGGGAAGATACATGATCACAACATTCGGGGAAGATACATGATCACACCATTTGGGGAAGATACATGATCACAACATTTTGGGAAGATACATGATCACAACATTTGGGGAAGATACATGATCACAACATTCGGGGAAGATACATGATCACAACATTTGGGGAAGATACATCATCAAAACATTTTTAATTTGATACATTTCTGAGTACTGTGCCATTGGTGAATACTACAGAAGTAAATAAAATTAAACAAATAAATTCAACTTTTTAACTTTAAAAACACATACCACACTCAGATTAACTACCATACCACACTCAGATGTAACTACCATACCACACTCAGATGTAACTACCTCTGCTACCCGAGTGTCATATTTTGTTGTTGTTTTTTTAGGCCAGATTGGAACTTCAAGCAATACAGAGTACTGTCCAGATTTACAGCAATCCTCGTATAGAGTAAGTTTACTGATAGTTATTATCATCAGTTACTCTGGCGGATCGTTTGATCTCAAATAAAATATATAATTTTGTATGAGAAAATTATCACCAAAGCTGTGCTGAAATCCTGTGAATCCTCTATGGCTGTCCTCTTTTCTGTTGTAATATCCAAGATTGTGAACACTAACATGTTTGAAGCTCACATGAGAGCTTTCTCTGAGTGTCTCTTCTTTTCTTCTTCTGGATTCAACTTTGAAAGGGCTGTTGGCATGTTGTTTTGTGGTTTACAACTAGGCTGTGATATTTGTGTCTTTCCCCTAGTGTATCTGATTTTTTCTTTTTTTTGGGTGGGGAGCGCAATGGTCTTTTTTTTTTTTCCTCTTCTTGATTTGGTTACTAGTAGCCACATTATTTTGAATTAAAAGCCAAAATAAGGATATAGAAAATGAAGTAGTTGAGGTTAAATTTATTATTTAAAAAGTTTGTTGAAAGGCAAAAATCTTGGTTGGAAAAAGAGGAAAAACAAAGAAAAGAGAGTGGAGGAAGACAAAAATAAAGAAGAAAAGATTCAGAAAGACAGAAAGAGGGTGGAAAAGAAAAAGAATATGCGGAGCAAAGGAAATAAATTAAAAAGAAGTTAAAGTATAAAATGAAAACAAACAAATGATGGATGTACACCATTCACTTCAGCATCTTCTATGAGAGACAGCTGTTTTGTTCATGACCCAAGTGCTGTGACATATTTTCCTCAATTAGTAACCAATAACTATCAAGATGTTTAACTTTTGCTCCGGCAAAGCAAGTTAATGTTAATATATTGCTTTGAACACATATTATTTATTAACAAAAAATAACAACATTAATGATTAATGGCTAAGCACCATCAAGGAAATTAAAAACAGAGTTTTGAGAGCATGCATCTTCCCTGTAGCAACATACGGATGTGAGTCGTGAACTATCTCCTGGTCATTAAGGAAGAAAATAACGAATTTTGAGCTAAACTACTACATAAGGATTCTCAGAATACCATGGAAAAAGAGAAACAAGAAATACTGACATTCTAAAGTCTCTGAACATCAAGGAAGATTGGCTCATAAACAGCATCTTCATCTCACAAACTGGAATAGTTTGACCATATCAAGAACCTCAGTGGTTTGGACAGAACAGGAGTGCAAGAAATGGTGGTGGGAAAGAGTGTCAAGAATGACCAGCATGAAGATGGGCGCAAGATGTGTAAGATGCATTGGATAGAAAAGTGCATCAGGTGGTAGAGGTAGCGAGAGGCTGAGCTTCATTCAGGTCGGTTGTTCTTCTTTTTTTTTCATCGCATTCACTGGCTGTAAACTCCAGCGGAAAGTTCTGGTTGTTCATCCACCTCTGGACTTTAGAATTGTTCCAGAACCTGAGTGTTGTGTGCACATCTGTTTTATAGATTTGACTTATTTGTATGCAGACTATTGGTTTCATTCCTCTCAGGCAGATGCACTCCAACTTCAAAGGAAAACCCCAATTAGTTGACTGTTACATTGTAATGATGGGGGAATACCAAGAGGTTCCCAGTATGACCTTTAGGGTCAAGGAGCCAGTTAAGGGAAGAAGCGTGGAAAAAAGATGTTTCTAAGTTCCTATGTGAATGGACAATTGCAAGAAGAAACCAGTGGAAAGAGAACAAAGGATTAGATGCGAGAAAGTAGGAAAGTTAGTTGGTGTTTGACAGCAAGAGTGAGAGGCTGAGTTGTGCGAGAAGAGTGACTGAAATGAACTGTGATTGCTGACAATGTGAGAAAGTTCCTAGCACACAAGAAAGGTGGCTGAACAGAAGTGATCCTGAATAGAAAGTTCGACCGACTGCGAAGATTTGTAGAGCTATGCTTGAAATGCGAGCTGTCATCATGATTGGAATGCACAGAAGGAAAAGTAACTATTTATGAATTTAAACTTTGGTGTTGATATAGCAGTATTCGCGATTGACCCCTAGAATGACGAGTGAGAACTCAGAACAGCAACTGGACGATACATTTGTTGGAACAGCATTAAACAATTTTTACATCAGAGCTGTGTGTCATCGAAATCTGTGTTCTTTCCTACTAACTCAGCACCTGAGCAGAGGGGAGACAAGTGTCGCTATGTATCTAGACAGAAGTAAAGTGTAACATCATTGCATACAACATGCAGGCAGGCAGTGAGTTTCTTATAGTTTTCCCCACAATGGGGTCCCGAAACCCATACGGGAAAGGCGAGTTGTGGTAAAAGCAACATTCTATAGTGGACCTACTTACTACATTGTGATGATAATATTATTTATAATAGCCAGTTTTTTGAATTTTGTGAATTGTATACTTATTAATAGCTAATGTTTTTTTTTTTTTCAGAGCTTGTTTTACGGAAGCTTTTGCTGCAGTTCCACAGTTGTCTAATGAAGGGGAAAAGTAAGCAGGGTTTGGAATGTTATCTTTCATAATTTAAAGCTTTTTTCTTTTGAATGACAATTAAGAATATGGACTGGCACCTTTCCGTCTTTCAGACGATAGTGTTACACTGTGTTATATGAGGAGGCATAGGGCTGACAGACCATGGCGATGGAGAGTGTGACTAGCAAGACCCGCCCACGTTAAGAAACGTATTCCAGAAATATAACATGGGATTTCAGGACCAGTGTTGTTTAGTTTGTTTCTTCTCAGACGCTCCGCTCTTATCCTTTTTGCAATGATTTTTTCCGTCCTTCTAATTTCCTTCCTGATTTTCCCCCTCCACACAACACAGCATTTTGTTCCTATGAGTCCACCTCAGATACCTGTATCATTCATGTCCCGCTTCCTCACATCTTTGTATCATAGTAGGGGTTGGCCTCAACATCTTCTACCCATCTTTAATTAATCTTAGAGGATGTCCTTAGGGATTCTGCCATCCTCCATCCTCCAGGTATGATCCAGCCACCTGAACCTTCGTAAACTGAGCATTTAGAAAACTGTTGTTGTACTTGCTCTTTCCACTGCCTCAGTGTTTGTGATCTTGTCCTGCCACCTAATGCTAAGTATTCTTCTTCGGCACCACATGTGAAAGCTATACAGCCATTTCTCCTGGTGCAAAGAAATTATTAAGAAGTAAGAATATATAATGGCAGCAACCGACAGCTGTAAGAATTTCGTAAATATGTGCGTTAGCATTCTTGTAAACAGATTGGTACTAGTAAACAGAATATGTACTGTAGTCTAGCCTTTACACCCCAAATCTTTAAGTAGAAGAGAAGTGATGTCAATCTGAGGGTCATATGGGTCATTTTTGTGTCATCATGACAACACATGACAACTATCTGAAATAATTAAATAAATATTATTGCAGATTATTTCTTTTATGTGGGCTGCAGGTGAGCTGCTGGTTAGACGTGCCTGCTTTAGAGTATAATAGAAGTGTTGCTTTGCACACCACACTGTACAGTATAATAGAAATGATGCTGTGGACACTAAACTGTAGAGTAGAATAGAAGTGATGCTGGGCACACCACACTCTAGAGTAGAATAAAAGTGATGCTCTGCACACCAAACTCTAGAGTAGAATAGAAGTGATGCTCTGCACACCAAACTCTAGAGTAGAATAAAAGTGATGCTCTGCACACCAAACTCTAGAGTAGAATAAAAGTGATGCTCTGCACACCAAACTCTAGAGTAGAATAGAAGTGATGCTCTTCACACCAAACCCTAGAGTAGAATAGAAGTGATGCTCTGCAACCCAACCCTAGAGTAGAATAGAAGTGATGCTCTGCAACCAAACTCTAGAGTAGAATAGAAGTGATGCTCTTCACACCAAACCCTAGAGTAGAATAAAAGTGATGCTCTGCAACCAAACTCTAGAGTAGAATAGAAGTGATGCTCTTCACACCAAACCCTAGAGTAGAATCGAAGTGATGCTCTGCAACCAAACCCTAGAGTAGAATAGAAGTGATGCTCTGCAACCAAACCCTAGAGTAGAATAGAAGTGATGCTCTGCAACCAAACCCTAGAGTAGAATAGAAGTGATGCTCTGCAACCAAACTCTAGAGTATAAAAGAAGTGCTGCTCTCTACATGAAACCTAGAGTAGAGTAGAAGTGATACTACACACACTGCACACTAAAGTATAACAGAAGTGTTGCTCTGCACACTACACTCTAAAAGTAGAAAAGTATTGCTTTGTACACCACAGCCCAGCATAAAAAAAAAACCCATACAAAAACTAATTACAGTACATCTTTAATAGCATCTGTGACCACCTTCTTCCATTACAGAGTTGTTGAGAAGCTTCTGAATGAGTTCAAGTCTCGAATGAAAATACAACTGATGTGCTTCCACTCTGATGAATCTCTGGCACACATGAAGATGACCACGCATGATGTTTCAAACTGCTAGCATTTAGTTTCAGCAAATTTTAAAAATAAGGGTGGTAAACACATGCACAAAACAAATTGATGTTTTTTACCTGTTATCATATTGCTGACTGTGAGAATATGATGTGTAAAGAAAATAGACATGATAACTTCTTCATCTTTTTTGTGCTCATCGACTGTAAACTCCGGTTTTTTTTATTTTTATTTTACAGATCTGGCTTATGTGTGTGCAGGCTGTTGGTTCCTCGCCTTTTAGGCAGATCAACTCAGACTTTGAAGGGAAGCAACCTTAATTAACCACCTTTTATGACTTGCTCATTAGCGGGCAGTTGGGCTGTTCTTGTTTCCCCCCAAATAGGGCCCTGGAACTAACACAGGAAGAGGCATAACAAGAAATAAATTCACTAAACAGAAGCAAATCCCGTAAACCCCCTTCAGCCATATAACACAGTTATATTGGGCAGCATGCTTTTATAAAATAACCTGTTTTCTACTATGGGTATCGGGTATATTTGAGTAGACCTCTTAAGGGTGACATGGTCAAAATCGCACTGACCACCTTTACACCCCAGGGCATTACTTGTTACCCATTTTAAACCGGGTTTCAAGTGAATCAGATCTGTACAACTGATGCACACACAACTCTCACGTTCTGGAGCAGTTCTGCAGTTCATAAGTGGACGAACAACCAGAACTTTCACCAGAGTGTACAGATAGTGAACACGAAGAAGAAGAAGAGACTGGGTTGACCTTGGAGCCAAGGTCTGTTTAAAGATAAGTATTAAAACATTCTGCATTGGTGCAGGTTGGAACCCGAGGTCTTCGAGCCAGCAGGCGAGTGTCTATCAGCTCTGCCACCGCAACTTCCATAACATACAGGTGGCATATTATAAATCATAGTCTAATGAAACTTTCTCATGTTCAAGATTGATTGGCTTGTCCTGCACAAAGCTTCCAGAGCACACTGGTGGCTTATTATAAATTATAATCTGTTGAAGCTTCTCATGTTCAAGATCGACTGGATTTCCCACGCGAAGCTCCTAGAGCACACTGGTGGCTTATTATAAATTCTTATCTGTTGAAACTTTCTCAAAGATCATTTTCTTATACAAAATATAGGTAAATCCTAAAATGAAAAGCAGCTGGCTGAACGGTTAAGAACACAGGGCTCTCTTGTGGGAGACCTAGGTTTGAATCCTCTGTAAGATTGGGGTTTTTTTTTTCTGTTGGGGCAAAGATAAAATCTTAACTTGAACAGTCTATGGTGACATTGCTGTCCATGCAGTTTTTCCCAAGTACTCAGAGTCAAAAACTCCTCGACAACTACAAAGAGTAGTAAATACAGACGGTAATGGCCACACGTGTCATTGAGAGTTAGAAAAAGAATTTTTGCTCGCTACATACATCCAGTTTTAACATATGGATGTGAATCCTGGACAATCGGTAGGCAGGCCAAACAATTTTTAGAGGCCTCAGAGATGTGGTTTTACAGAAGAATGCTTAGAATACCTTGGACAGCCAACTTATTACAGACACCAGACGGAGACAGTCATCATTTTTCGGCCATGTTATGAGAAGAGGGAAAATAGAACATGTTGTGACCACTGGAAAGATATGTGGAAGGAGGGATAGAGGAAGACAATGAGAGAAGATGCTTGACAGTCTTGTTGCATGGCATGGACGTGTGTCGGCACACAAACTGATACATGCTGCAGGATATCGCAGATTATGGAGAGGTATGATCGCCCACGCCAGTCGGCAAGGCACCTGATGATGATGATGAATGGCCACATGCACGCGTCCGCGCATACACACAACCATCTTAGTCTCATAACATGAAACAAAGGCTAAGCCCCCTCCCCCCCCCCCCCCCCCCCCCCCCCACCCCACAAATTTTACAGAAGTTCAGAAAGACAGTCATCATAAACATACATAACTGGTATATTGCTTGACACTTCAGCAAGATGTTTTACCAGTTTTAATTTGAAAATAAAGTAAAGAAAATAAAAATCTTCAGCATTTTATTACAGGTCAAAAGTAAAGAACCCTTTTCCATGCCTGCCGGCGTGATGTGGTCAGCTTTATGCCAGCCACCTTTACTTTCCAGGACGTTTACCTAGTACCCATTTAGGGGTGGGAGCCAAGGTCATTTTTGAAAAAAGTCCAGCTCCGATAGGATTTGAACCCACATCCTTCAGGTCTGCAGGCAAGCATATAGCCGCTTCACACAGTAACTCCAGGTTGAAAGTAGAAAAGATATATAGTGCGTACATTGTAAAAAAACTGGCACCCTGTGGATACTGAAGCAGTGGTGCCATGTTGCCAGGTATTGGCCAGTGTCACACAATCAGAGTGCCAGGTTGGCTTGTTCATCTTGTGAGGGATGGATACAGAAAATTAATACAAGAGAAACACAGTGATGAATTAGCAGAGGCAGCCAACTGTGAAGAGCAGCTGTCATAAATGCTGACCTAACCTGAAAATTGAAAGAGAAAGAGAGATGGCAGAATGTAAGAAAAACAGACAGAAAGATGCCATATTGTCAAAGAGGCAGTTGATAATTGTTTTATGAAAGTAAATTGTCAAACACTTTATAGCCATCATCACTAATTTTATAAATAAAGCATTTATAATTTGATGTAATGGACCTTCTGTATTCACTCAGTTATTAAATGCTTTATTCATAAAGCCACTACATGAAACATTTCTTCGGCTAAGTTCTTCTTCTTCATCTTCTTCAGGTTAACTCTTTGAGTCCCATAGGGTTTAGCATCACAGGCCCAAGGGGTGGTCAAAAGAGATGCAATGTCGGCGCATCATACGTTCATTGGGCTTCTAGGCAGTAACCTATAAACGTATGTTGAGTTCCTTGGGACTCAAGAGTTAATCTGCTGTTCACTCCACTGACCAGTGCTGATTGTTCACCCACACCTGGGCTTCAGTCTTTTCCAAAATTTGATGTTTGCCTACACATCCGTTTTAAAGATCTTGCTAATTTATGTGCAGACTGTTGTTTCCTTGCCTCTCAGGCAGAAATACTCCGACTTTGAAGGAAATGTTGGTCCTA